CTCCAATCTACCAGCGCCGAGACACCCACCCTTCAAACCAGAACCAACCTTTCATACGTTCAAAACGATTCAAACCCGTACGGGCATGGTTGGGCGTGAATGCGCGTCGCATTTCAAAACAAACCATTCTCGCACGCTTCGTGCACAACGAGAGAAGAAGAAGACGTGCCTCAAAAGAAGCCTGCCATGTGCGTGCGTACATTCATTCCCTACCATCCGTCTCGCGGTTGAACAGTATGCATGCATGCATGCTGTTGTAAGAAAAAGCCAACACATGCAATCACCGCCCCTAACACGATCACTTACGGATCGTTTTAGGCTACATTCATTCCAGGCGTCGTTCGCCGTCAAGAACTCAGACAAACACACAACATCCAGAAATACTACCAAAAATAACGCCATCGATAGCAACAATTCCAAATTGCGTGCTCTATTCGCTTGGTTGTCCGCATGTGACTCGACGACGCCTGTAGTTGACGGAGAACTGCCGTCACCCCTACTTCAAAACTAACCGTACTTTCCTACAAATGGAAGCACATGTCACACATTGACAAGCCTCCGACAAGCTGCTCGGAGCACTCTCCCAATGGCACATGTATAAACTAAGGGCGGTGCATACGTTTAAAAGGAGGAGTGAACATGGATACGTACGTGTAAAGCCCTAGCGCTAGCGACAAGACGTGTATTCGAAGACGCAGCTTTGAAACACGCCAGCGACTCAAATCGAACAGAAAGCGGCGGCACGAGAACACCATCCATGCGACGTATCCTAGGATGCACTCGGCCTCTAACCGCACCAACAGGGAGGTACATATGTTGCTTGAACTTGAACTTGAATACATATTAGTATACACACAACAACGTACCAGGAATACAACTGCGTTCTCTTCCAAGAATAGAAAAATCGCCCGAAAACAATCGGTCCAGGCAAAAGGGACCAGAAAATGTCGCAAAATTCCAACGCAACCTACTAAACGCACGCCATATTGGTGTGCTGAAGACAGAAGAATTGACAACGTCAAAGCCAAAACTGGCTCAGTTCGGCACGCCACCGTCCGAATCGGCCCATCGTATATAAATAATGCATACAAGGACCTAATCCTTCGCTCTCGGAAACGACTGAGGCGACCCTCGCTTCCAGCCGATCCACCCAGGTGGCTCTTTCGTTATTTCAAGAATAACAGGTACCGGTAAGCTGCAGAGAGCGCAAGGCTACCAATACGGAACCCACGGCAGCAGTCGCCAGAGCCAAGCAAGTGCATTCATTCAATGAACCTCCAACAAAACAAAGGTACGGCGGGGGCGCGAGACGCCGCCTTTGGTAGGTACTCCCCGCAGACGTTGTGTCGCCGACACCCCCGTATCCCCACCCTACGTGGACATGCTGCTCTCGTGACGACACGCGCTCTCTGTGTGCTGCGCCGCTGCTCCAAGCCACGAACATACGACTATGCCCAAGCGCATGCAGCAGCACATGAAATGGTCACACCCAGGTTCTCTCGAAAAAACGTTAAAATAAACAAAAAAATATGCTGCTACGGTGTCTGATCGCCATTCCCCAACCTCAACTCCTCTACTTCGTCGCCCCTCCCCCCTCCCCACCGACGAAGCCTCAATCATCCGCATTCGCTTCCTGAACAAGCGCCAACGCCTCGGCGACTAGAGCTTGTACCTCCTCCGCCTCCCGTTCTGCGTCCCCTTCCTCCTGCTCATCGTCCTCCTTCCAGGTCAAGATGCTCCTGGCAGACCGAAACACCCCGGGCGTCGCGGCGTCGCCGCCGCTGCCTCGCGAGGACGCGTACTCGTTGGTCCCTGTTGCTGCAGCAGCTTCCCCCCCCGCGAGATCGTAGACCCCATACCGGTGCAAAGCCCCCGTGTCCGCCCCGGAGGATGACTCGCCTGAGAAGCTACCGAAGCTTTCCTCCGAGTGTTCTTGCTCCACTGCTGCTGTTCCACCCTCTCCGACAAAGTCTTGCATGGGCTCTTCATGGCCGGCAGCCATGGGGGTCATCGCAAAGACTTCGCCAATGCTGGCGGCGTTAGGCGTCCTCGGCGTGGGGCTCGCCGCCGCCATCCAGTCCTTTCCCCCCCCCATGTCGGCCTCCTCACCCACGTCGATGATACTCTCGTCGCTGTTGTCGGCGTCGTTGTACACCTCAGGAGGCTTCCCGACCGCCTCATTGATGAAAACGGTGTCGTCCATAGCGCCACCAGCTTCGGTGGTCTCCGGTGTAGCCACTACGTTCGGAGAAACAGCCTCAGCCAAGCCAACGCCAGCGCTCCCCTGTACAACAGCAAGGTCGTCCCGAGGCAGCGCGGACGTGAAAGCAAGAGGGTGAAACACGGCAAAACGGTCGCGTTCCCCACATTAAAACCAACGGGGGTTCGACCATAGAGAGACGGTGTGAGGAGGGGGGGCATGGGTGAGCATCGGCGCGGTGCTAGCAGACGATTTGGAACGCGCGCTGGGATTCAGTGTTTGTGGACACTGCGCGTTTGAAAACGACGCAGGGTCCAAAGAATGTGCAAAAAATGTGCAGCATGACATCAATCGGCAAGCGGATCGAGATGCAGGTCGTCCGTGGCGTTGCAGCACGTGAGTCGATGGCCGTCCGAGCGGGTGTAGTTGGGCAAGGGAGCGGCTATGTACTTCGGAAGAAGAAAACTGGCGACTCAAGGAGGAAGCCAAGAGCAAGTCTGCTCTCTCTGCGGGCAGGGAGGAGGCCGCGAGCAGTGTACGCTATAGTAACACTTCACAACGATGTTACGACACAACATTCGCGTACCCCACCAAACGCGCTGAGACGGCAAATCGCTAAAACAAGTCGAACTGCGGCGTTGTTGCCCCCCCCCCCCCCCTACGACAGACCACCAAGACAAAGGCCGCGGCAAAATTCATGCGTGTCATCTGGTTTACCTTCTAGCACAGACGGTGTTCCCCAGGCGGTCGTTGTCGCAGCCCCTGCATCCCTCCGCGACGCTGCATTCGCCGCCGCCGCCGCCGCCTGCTCCGCGGCCTTTTCTGCCCTAACGGCAGCTTCTGCTGCCTTCGCCGCTGCATCCTCAGCGGCCGCGTCTGCCTCCGCCGCCGCCGTCGCCGCCGCCATCGCTGCTAGGGCAGCCTCGGACGCTTGGGCTTGGGCATCTATTGGCCCGTCGGACTGGTAGGACACCACCTCTGCCGTCGGGTTGGTGTGGCTAGGCCCGTTTTGCTGATGCTGCTTCGGACAAAAAACAGAAAGCGTGACGTCCGTAGCCGTCAGCACGAGAAAAGAGGTGCAGACGTGCAGCATCATTTGATCTTGCGCGGAATTTGCCCCCTGGCGTAAACTCAGGCTCCCGGCCTCCGGCGTTTTTGCCCTGATTTCATGCGCGAGAGCACGACACGACTCTCACTGGAAAATACCAAGTAATTAAATATTTGAGAGACAGGTAACGTTGGCAGTGCAATCGCACGCGGCTGCACTACACGACAAGCCCACCCACACTACCATTCTCAAGAGATGCACACGTAGAAACATCGTCTTGAAAGGTACGACTCCGACCACAAAACAGAGTTCAACCACACAAACGTGGTCATACCAAAACTGCAATCTCTTCGCATGGCGGACATGGGTTCTTCAAAGAAAGTGCATCCTTATTGGCACCCCCAATCTGCCCCTGTGGACCTCCAATCGTTCCTCGCATGTTCCCAAGGATGGGACGTAACAAAAACCATCAAGCAACACCCCTACATATCCGCGCGCTAAACAGCCGGTCGCCCCGGCGGTCTAGTTGGTATCCTCGAAACCTTCTAGAGGTCAGGTCAGGGGTTCGAATCCCGGCGTAAGCGAGCTTTTCGTGAAAAGTGGTTTTTTCTCTCGCTTCCGCTCCTGGCCTAGTGGATAGCGCTAGTTCCTGTGTACACAGAGGGAAGAGAGTGCTGAACTTTTCTCGCATTAAAAATCGAAGGCAAAGTACCGCAGGAGGGGACGGTAGAGAGGGGCCCTTCTGTGTGACTACGGGTTGGAGTAAACGGCACTAGTGCTGTGAGCGCTGATTGGAATTGAAGAAAAAAAAAAACAAAAAAAAACATGTGTCGACAAAAACATGTGTCGACACAAATGATCTGTTCCGCCGTTCAAACCACATCCTAAGTCACCGCTGCCGCTAAATTTGTGGTGGGGTCTGCTGTCGGATAAACTGATATGGTATGGGGGAAAGGCCTGAGATTAGACCACGAGCAGGGTCGTTCACAGCTGGTGGCTCCTTTGGGCTCACAACACTCACATCACTTACCGCTCCTCGTGAAGGGGTCTTCGATGGCGTCGCTGCTGCGCCCCTGACTGCCGTTCCCTGCCCCGCCGCCGCCGCACGCGCTAGCTCTTCCTCGACCGCTTGCTCGTCAGCTGCCTCGGCTTGTGCTTCCACCACCGCCGCGTGGGCCTCCGCCGCCGCCTCCGCTTGGGCGTCCGCCACAAAGGCGGCGACCCGCGACGATCCGAAGGACGACCCCATCTCCCACCCAGCACCGATCGAGCTGTCCCCGCTGCTGACCACGCTGTGGGAAGCGGCCTTGATGTCGGCTGTGCTCGGGGTCACCGCCGGAGAGACCTCGGTGACCGGGGTGTTGGCGGCTCCGAGGATAGCCGGGATGATGCGGCCCCCTTTCTTGCCGACGGCGAGGGCGTTAATGCCGCTGCTGCCCATCGGTGACGGCAGGCCGTCCACTCCGGCAGGAGACTCGAGCTGCCACGCGAACTGCCCCTCGTCCATCGGGGAACCGCTCGTCTTCCCCGCCTTCGAAGCATCGCCACGCGCGGTGAACTCCGGCGTGCAGTCTCTCAGGGCGCGATCAGGCGTGGCCACCGGGGTCGCCCACCCCGCATCGCCGCCGCCGCCGCCGCCGCCGGGGTGTCCGCCCTTGGACATGTCTTCCGGCGCAGCAGCGCGCGTCGACTTCTTCGTCGGGATCGCTGTCCCGAAGGACCCGCGATCGGGCGTGGCGACGGGGGTGGCCCACGTCGCAGCCCTCACCTTCAAGGCGGGGCCTGAAGGGTTGGTCACGCCCTTGACCGTCCCAGGAGGCTTCGGAGTCGTGAGCGCGTGACCAGCGTTGGGAATCCCGGGCGGCGAGGGCGCCAGCATCGAAGGACCAGCAGCCTTAGGAGTGTCGGGGCCAAGCGTCGGAGGATCCGCCCTGGACCTCCCAGGCGTCGCACTTAACCCAAACGAAGAAGAAGGACCCCCTACGCCCTTCGGCGTTAACGCCTCGAAGACATCGACCACCTTGCTCACGCGCGGGCCTCTGGGAGACTTTGCCATCGGCGTCGTCGCCGGATTCAGCCCGCGGCTAGCTCCACGGAGCGGGGTGCGTCGCGGAGTGGTCCCTTGGGCCTTGGGGGGAAGGCGGAGCGCCGCCGCCGCTGCCGCCGACTCTCGCTGCTCGGGCCCACAGGGGGCTTCGCCAAGGTCGCCGCCATGCTTGGGGGCAGCCGCGAAATCGGGCCCCTGATCTACCGTCGGCGCGGAAGGTGGTCCTCGGCGAGTCTTGGCAGGGGTTACCGAAGCGACCGTAACAATGGTGGGTTTCCCGGTAACAATGGTGGGTCTTCCCCCTTTAAGAGGCGTGTTTCCGCCCGCTTGCGGCCCGGTGACGTCCGTCCTGCCGTGCGACGCTTGTGGCGGAGAGTCTCCAGATCCAGATGGACTTATCGGACCCGACTTTCCCACGTTGCTCGGAGAGGCGGAGAGAAGCCACGAGTAGTCGCTCTGCTTCCTTGCTCCGCCCAGCCGCCTCGCGCTGAGGGCTGGCTTGGGGACCTCGCACTCCGGCTCGGACACGACCATGCCCGGCCTCTTGACCACCGGCAGCTTGCTGGTGACTACTTCGGCCTGCTCGAAGGCCTTAGCCGAGATGCCGTCCACCGACTGAGGCGAGAACGCGGGGGCCTCTCCTGCCCCCGGCGCACGCGGCGTTGCCGCGCCAACGTCCTCGGGTTCCTCGACCTTCTCCCCCGTGCTTTCCTCTCCGGCCACGCTTCCCTCGCCGGCCTCCGTCGCCGCCACGAAGGCCGCCGCCTCCGCAGACTTCCGACTGCTGAAGCTGTCTCGCGTGGACACCATCCAGTCCTCCAGGGGCGCGGGGGCGGCGGCCTCGGGCTCGGGATCGCCGGCTACTGCCGCCTCCGCCATCTTCTTCTCCGCTTCCGCGGCGTTCACGGGGCCTGGCGACTGCTGTCCGATCAGGGTCGGGGCGCCGGCCGGCTTCTGCCTGGTCCAAGCCGGCGACTTGATCCCGTTCCTATCCCACCTCCCGCTCCCGCTGCCCGGCCTCTTGACCGAGATGCCGTCCTTCTTGTCCGCGCCCTTAGCGGCGGCTGCGGCCAGCTCCGCCACAACCTCCGCGTCGGCAAACATGCCTCCACCTTCCTCCTCCTCTTCCCCGCCCCCGCGCGCCGATCCGTAGCCCCCGTTGCTGCTGCCCCCTCCCAGGCTCGCGAACTTGGAACTTCCCCCGGTGCTGTTGAACTTGCCGCTACTGCCCCCGGTGCTGTGGAACTTGCCGCTACCGCCGCCGGTGCTGTTGAACTTGCCGCTACCGCCCCCGGTGCTGTTGAACTTGCCGCTGCCGCCCCCGGTGCTGTGGAACTGAGCCCCGTTCGCCATAGCCGATATCATCGGGTTTCTCGTGACGACCTCGGTGCTCTCCTCGTGCACAGGGGAAAGAGCTCCCAGTTCCGCCAACCCTGACACAGACGCTCCGCCATTGCTGCTACCCCTTCCACTGCTGGCAAAGAGGTCACCATTCATACCGCCGCCGCCGCCCCCAGTAGTGTCTCTGTCGACGACACCTCCACCATGCGCGGCATCGCTTGTACCGCTCCCGGCCACCGTAGCAGCCTCAACGCCTTTGACTCGATTCTTGCGACGCTTGCAGCAGCAGCACAAGACCGCACCCAGCGCAACCACCGCTAGCGCCGCTGTGGGTATGACCGAGCGGGGAGGGGAGGGGGGGGGGGGGGTCTCGCGGATCGTCTAGGCACATGGCAGCATAGACAGAAAGCGCAGTGAACACACCAAAAGAAGGCCTGGTACAGTAGAGCACGACAGCTACGACAAGAGCCGTGGCCACACTTTTCATTGCTTCTCCTGACACTCTGAGCTGTGCGTCGTGTACATGATCGGTAGTAAGCTACACTACACATATCGAGGGCGCTCTAGAAATGCCACACAAAGATCGGTGGTCGTCTGTGCACTTCCCAAAAAGTCGACGCTTAAAACCCAACGCCTCCGTACTTTCAAGGCAGACGAAACAAAAAATTGCAACCACGAAAACACCCAAGGCCAACAACATACAAGGAAGCACGCACCTGCAACCGCGACGATTACGATGATCCAGTTGAACGAGTCATCGTCACCGGTTTCAGCGGCGGCAGCCACCTCTGTGTCACCGTCATCTTCTGCAGCAGTGTCGCTCGAGACGGCTGCTGCCACGATCTCAAAAGTCTCGCTCTCGCCGTAGCTGCTAACCTCCTCGACCCTATCGCCGACGAGAAAGGAGTAAGCACTGCCGGACTCGAGCCTGGGGGGAGGAGGCGGCAACAACAAAAAAACGAATTGAAAGAGGTGGGTCAGACGGGAAGAAAAATACGCAAAAAAATACGGGGGTGCTCCGCTGCATCGCGTTCTACCGCTCCTGTTCACGTGTTCGGGGTGTGAATGGGGGCAGCAAGGGCGCGCGAGATATACATAGCAACAATCCACGACAAGCGCAATTCATGATGAGCTCGGCGCCCTCATGAGGACCCGGATACTGACAAAATCATTGGCGGCCCAAGCAACCCGAAGGGTGTGTGTGAGACGGAAAAGCCGGCCGAGTCAATTCAATCGTGCGGCGTCAACACAACCCGTTCTTACCGCCAACACAAGCCAAAAATGGGCGCCATGTCTGCTGCGCAGCACGTGACTATCAACCCGCCGCTGCTACACGACAAGAAGAAACACGGCCGCAACGAACACCAAGCATCGTGCCAGGGCAACAACAACATGGCCAATACTACTGCGGATACGTGGTGTAAAGTAGGCTTTGTTAAAGTTTCTTACCCGTCAGGCAGCGTGACGACAAGGAAGCCATTCGGGGCCAAGCACCCTCCGTCGCAGAGCTGATCGCCCACCTGGCGCGACGGCAGGACACGACGAGCGCGACAAGAAAAAAACATCGTGCATGTTCAAGTCAGCGTTGCCGCTATTATGGGACAAAGGGGGGTAAAACACCATGATCAGGGTGCAGCCGGCATGCTATCGTTATGAGCATGCTGTGATTCGTGGAAACAATACTATCGTTGCACAATAAAGAAGCATACGCACGAGCTGTGTCCAAAACTTCCACAACCAAAAATTACGACGCACATTCCACACATTTCATTGTGTCCTCAAAATGCAACATACAGCAGTAGTGCCCAAAGGCTCACAAAACGCAATGCTTCAGACACTGCTTACCGGGTTACCGTCGTTGAGCAAGGTGATATCGAAATATGAGCTGTCCAGAGAAGCTTCCCACTCCACCGTAACATCGTCGCCAGCCGTAAACACGTCACCGCTGTTTTTGATTGGTTCATCGAAATCGCGGGGGGGGTACGGGGTACGGGAGAGCAGGCGTGCGGAGCCCCTCGTCAGGATTGATGGTTGCGAGTGGATGACATATGCGTTGGTTATATTAGTACTTGAATTCAAAGAAGAAACCTTTATGTTAAGTACGTTCCACGTCTAGACAAAAATCGTGGGACGAGACTTGGACGGCGTGTACACAGGCACGAAGCAGATCGATGTGCATATACAGTAATCCGTACAAACTCAAGCAAAGAACAACTACCAACTTCGAGCAAGCGAAAATACGAAAATACCCATCAAACAAATCTTCGCGGGTGCCATACAGAGGCAATAGTGTGTGTTGCGTTTAATTTTACAATATGCAACTTCAATGTTGGTTCGGGAGACGACATACACAAAGGCTTGCCCGTTTTCCAGATGGAATGGTGTTGTGGCTTCCTGTCGTCAGTGTACACGCCATGGATGGGTCTTGCGCCGCCAAGTACTTGTAGTTGGCGGCGGAGCCCGATTACGGGAGTGTCGGCATTACGAGACCAAGTCGTCAAGGATAGGATACGACAGAATTGTTTCCCACACGCCTCACTCCGTGTGTGTTATTATCCCATTTAAGCAAGCCCCGAAAAAAATGCAGTTCACGTTACGGTTATATCCCAGGGTTATTATATTATCCCATTTAAGGGGGGGAAGAAGAGAATTTTGATGTTGACGAATTTTGAAAACAAACGCAAGAGGTCCAGAAATTGTACAACAGACATACAAGACCAGTCGGGAGGCATCGCGAAAAACAGCAAACTTGTAGTTGATTCTCGCACAGGGCGGCAGTAGAGGCTGCTCAAAACATTCATTTCACGCGTCTACCTCCACAGGCTTCCTTTGAAATCAAGATAAAAATTCGCTCCATTCTAAATTCAAGTCAAAGGAGCCAAAACGGAAGGCGCTCAAATAAGGTCAGTTTTGAGGGTTAGGTTAGGCATGCTCTATTGTCAGCCAGTGAGCAGGACATCATGAAGAGGGGTCGTGCTTGCTGGCACGTTCAGGTTTGCTACTGGAGCTGAAATATCGAAGGTTGCAGCAGCCTTTGAAAACAGTCCGAAATCTGCGCCGGAACCAAGCGGCATCCAATATTTGTCACAGCCATGCTCGCCGTCACCGACCCCAATCTCCTGAGCTACGGGTTTACAGCAGTAGCTGATGCCACTAGCTACTGCTGACACCCCAGGGGTTTACGGTCCGTGGCGGTGAGCATCGCTGTGACAAATGTTGGATGCCGCTTGGTTCCGGCGCAGATTTCGGACTGTTTTCAGCGGCTGCTGCGACCTTCGATATTTCCGCTCCAGTAGCAAACCTGAACGTGCCAGCAAGCACGAGGCCTCTTCATGGTGTCCTCTCTACTGATGACAATAGAATGCCTACAAGTAACCTAAACCCGGCGCGAAGGTTGTTTTCTTTCGTGCATAGGGGAAAAGAGCCAGAGTCAAAACCGCTGTTCTTCCCCCGAAAAAAATGCAGTTTACGTTAGGGTATAGCGACGCCGCCAGCGCCGTGAAACACGCGTACATCGCTCACCGGTCTCAAATACTACGGTAGCACGGCGACAGTACTACTGTTATTCGAGGACAGAAGAAGCACATTGAATGTACATGGTTGTGTGTGTTTATGTGCATTGCTAGCATTGACCGCGCGATGCATAACCGCCTGCTGACTCGTAGCGCGTGTGTCCGTACATATTTACCCATATGTATCTATTCTGGGGCCAGTCGAATGGTTGAAATCGGAAATACGGGGGAGACGAACATACCGTAGTTTGTGACCCTGTCATTAGACGTGTTCATCTCATTTATTACGGTGCTGGCTGTTTCCCTCTATGGCAGGTAAATGCTTCCAACGGTTATACGCTCGCGGGTTGGGAGTTTCGCAGCTGGTCAAACAAGTAAATACACTGCACGCGTGCATCCCAACACAGAAGGCTGTGGCCACGAGTCGAAAGGGGCAAGTAGCGTCAACAGCAGTCAACAGCAGTCAACAACATAAATAACACAACCCAAACAAGCGCAACGAGAAGAAGCACCATCATCGACAGACCCAAACAGCGTATTTGCCCGCCTCCAGCGTTGCTTTGCGAAAAGTTGTAAGCTTGTTGGTGGGGGTGATTATAATTCAGATTCCGGATCATACGTGATGTATGTGCTCAATCTACAGCAGTACACACACCACTACTCGTGTGTAACGAGAACATGACATGACGCATTCATCTTCATCTTTGTACGTGTCTCTCGCTCGGGTATCCAGCCCTGCCGTTGTGACCGCTGCTGTAGGGTATAGACTACAGCAGCAACACTGCCTGCCTACACGCCGGCGCATACATACTGCAACACATCAACAGAAAATCTATGCCACCGCCGCTGAGCCAAAGGCGGCGGCCAAGGAGAGGCAGAGAGAGCGGGAGGGGGAGGGCGCCAGCCAACGAGAAAGAGCGGCCAAAGAGGAAAAACAGCAGTCCAGGTCCCATATCGTGCACCATCAAGCCATAAAAACCAAATATGTGATACAACTTGCGCTGCAGAGGCGAAAAGAAAGACTAGACTACAGCTGTAGAAACGACTTGCTCGATTCAAACAACCACGGACGGTCGAAGGCATATCATACAACCTTCTTCCCGTGTACCTTTCGGGGCTTGTGACGATGAGGAAGCTGTCCTGGGCGGCGCTGAGCCAAACGTCTGCGGGCACGGCGGTGCAGAGAGACCAAGAGGGAGGGAGCGAGAGAGAGAGAGAGAGAGAGAGAGAGAGAGAGACAGACAGACAGACAGACAGAGAATGGACAAGGCAAGCTGCTGATGAGAGGCGTGCTCCTGGTTTGGGGCTCAGTAAATTGTTTGTCGGCGCTTCTGTACAATATGATCCGGCGATTGATGGCGACACCGCGACCAGGCGACCCGTCCAACGAGAGATAGATATACTGGTGGACACCTTGCTTGAACTTTCTACCCTCACCCTCACCATGGACGAGCACCACGCTCAAGAGGAGCAGAACGCGGGGAGACATGACGATCAAATGGTATGAATGTTGCTCTCGCCCTTTTGCCCTCTCTGTCCTCCTCTCCCGTTAACTCTCTGCGGCTAGGATCCGCGGCTCCAACCCCGCCCCTGCGGCTTTGCGCGCTCTCCCTGCGTACCAGAGAGTTACCCACAGCTACAGGGATGTAGGCGGAGCCCGCAATTGGGAAGCGACTCGCGTGCTCGGAGGCAGAGATAGGAGAGCGGGGGAGCCGAGGAGCCGAAGGCCGAAGGAAGGGTGTGTCGTGTGTACATTTCAGCTCTCTAAAACCAAGTGATTACCAAACAATGGAACTATTTTTAAAATTAAAAATTGAAAAAAAAAAAAAACTAAAAGCTGCCCTTGGCACAGGGACGACACACCAGCCGTACGCGTGTCTAGGACGGACGGTCGTCGTTTCTGCAGCCGCGTGATGTCTGCAGGCTGCTCGAATTGAGTTCTCAGGGTTGCTGTTCAACCAATCGCTGTGCGGAAGCTGCGTGATCCATGATGCTACGCTAGTTTTCGGTGTAGAGTCAAGCAAACTACAGAAGAAGCAGTACCAGCGCTAAATACAGGTGCTACCGCTTCCGCTTAGTTGTCAACACTTAGACCTGCACGTGCGACCACCGTCGTAGGCGAGAGAGGCCATATGGAGGGGAGCACCGAGGGACGACAAATTTTCATGGTGGCGTGCCTCGCACAAAAGGCGAAGAAATATGCGATGGCAAGAACCGCATGGGAACAGTATTTGGCAATCAGGTGAAAAATTACGATGAGATCAACCCTTGATGGAAGAACTCGGCGATAGACTTGTTTTGTCGATACTGACTGCTGTCGTGTGTAGGGGTAGGCATACACAGCAGTAAGCTGTTGTTTACTGCTGTAGACTGCTAAGAGCAGTACATTTACTGGTACATCTTTGCAGCTGTTGTACTCCAGTAGTACACGACCCTGGGTTCCAAAAGACACACGAACGTATATGTCGCCCATGCCATGCTGTCACGCGCGTGGAGCAGAAGTGTATCCGTTGTTAGAGCAAACAATGGGTATGCTATGTACAAGTACATATAGGCTACTTCTGTAGTCTGTTAGTCTACGGCTGTACACTCGTCGCCCCTGGTACTGCTGTAGACTACTGTAGGTACATGCTCCTGTGCACTCCCGCCGTGGTGGCTGGTTACCGTCCAAGAAAAATACCGTGGTGGCCACCTAATAATAGACTACTGCTGTATTGCAGTGGAGTTTCACACGGGAATGATGCTGAGGCGTGGAAAAATCGTTAAGGCCGCGGTGGAGGGGCATATCTCCTCTTCAGCAAACCAGGAAACGCCTGCATATCTTGGTCTTTCCAAGTCTAACCCCTCTACGAATCTACCGTCGCAGATAGATGTCGCTTGTGTACAGTCTTATAGCTCAGGTTGTAGTCCTTGTGATACACTACTGATTGGCGATTAGCCACCATTTTGGCGCCGCGATTTTGCAAAGGCTCCTTTTGTCTTCGAGATCGGTGAGCTACAGAAGTACAACCAGGATTGAAGCTGCTGTCTATTCGGCGATCTTCGAACGCTTCAAGCAAACAGGGTGACTGCGAATCAGCGCCTACATGTATGTGTGGGACCGTGAACTTCAGCGCAGCTCTTCGCTCACACATCTTATTCGTCGCTACACAATGTAGGCGACTTGAATGCCTGGGGTCAACCTCGGACCTCACAGCAGCTTCAATGATCCCGCTTGTAGCTCACCGCGATAGAAGGATCCTTTGGAGAATCGCGGACCGCAAATCGGTAGTGTATCACAAGGGTTACATATCTGAGCTCAATACGTTTGTAACATTTGACAGTTTCGGAACAAAAAAAAACTGAAATAAGGAAATATATTTTGAGTTAAGCCATCGTTCTGAGGATCGTTCCTGACAGTCTCGCCAGAACCCAAGATAAGGGAAAAATAATCAGATTTAACAGCGGAGGGAGGCTGGTTTTGTGGAAAATTTTGCCAACTTTTCGATTTAGCAGCTTTCTTTGAAATAACACATCAGGCACCACACACAACACATCATCAGGCGCCACCCACACGCACACACACAGTCTGCAAGAGCATGTCCAGCGGCCGCCCACATAAAACCCAGTGCCCAGCGCAAATGCCCTGGAGTTGGCGCGCCACCAACACAGAAAGGGGGAGGCTGCACGGTCAGAAAACCAAGTTGGGGTTGGTTGTTGCGCGGCTTTAGGTCAGCAACAACACGCGCCCGTCACACACAGAGGTTGAGGCAAGGGGGAGAAAGAGCGCCGGAACGAACCGCAGCAACCGACGACGTAGAGGAGGTGGCAGAACCGCCAGCAAAGGGCAGAGAGGAGGAAGAGCACGCTGCTGTTGCCTCCTGGTGACGCGCCGCAAGAAAGAGTATTCTCTGCTTCTACTTGAGAGAGCGTGTTTGACTTCGATGTGCCCCCGCCCCAAAAAAAATCACCCTCCTCTCCCCAACGCTTGAAATGCGATACACAGCACTTCGTACAGGGCTGCCGGGCATTATGTGTACTTCCTGTCGCTGTTCTGGTGCGGGTTCGTGTGCTGGGGTTAAGGGGGCAACACAGACACGCATGCACGCACATTCAACAGCAGTGGGAGCGCTGTGATCAGGGTGTAGCTGTCACGCAGCGCACCACAAAAAACAGCAGTACCTGCGAACAGGGGAAGTTGGTTGGGTGACTGTCGTCCCACAGCCAATCACATGCAGCCGCCTTAAATCGAAAAATATTCGCCTGCAGGAAGTTTCCAGGAAATTTTCTTATCTCAAAATCTGCTTCCTTATCTCAGCAAATTTGGAGCCCCAGTCCGAAACTGTGAATTGTACACAAGCGACATCTGCAGGCGGTTAATGTGCGATGGTACAGCAGACTTGTGAATGGCAAGATATGCAGGCGTGCCCTGGTTTGCTGAAGAAAAGATCTGCCAACTCCACCGCGGCCTTGACGAGCACATTCCTGACAGTTTTAATGCACAGATTCATTATAATCGACCAATAGAACACGTGGAACGTATGTAGAACACGGACTCCTCGGTAGCAGTTCAGGACCTTGTGTGATGTGTGTGATCAATTCGGGCATGTCGCTGCTGCATGCTACCGGTTCAAGCGATAATGGCATTGCCACCATCATCAGGGGTTTCGCATGTAAAATATCGGCAGCGGATTCTCGTGTAGCCGTTTTATTTGGAAGATAGAGTGCCAAAGAAGACGTCAAATTGCTGTTGAGTCAACGGCAGATCGCCGTTGACCGCAACTTACAAAACAACACAGGCCAGCATTCGACAATCCGCCAGTCGTTCTTGTTTCTCGCACGGTTCCAAAAATCAGTTGACGTAGAATTTAGACTACATTCGGTCCTCTTTCTTTCAAAGGTGTTTACTTTTCTCGGTTCTGGCTCAAGGGCCTGTTTCAACGTTAAGAGTGGCGCCCACATTGTAGGGGCCCTGAAAAAACCACAGTGGGGGCGGAGGGGCGTACTCATACTTGTATATTGCATGTCGCAGCTGTTAGGACCATTGACCACGCGCCCTCGTCGAGAGGACGGAACATTATTCCCACAGAACCGATCGCAATGGCCAGTCGTTAGTCGTTCCTTCCTACGTTGCCAAATTTGGCTCAACAATGTTTGCCCTATCCTGTCTAGGTCGCTTCTCTCCTGCTTCTCGCACGTCATGTACCCCAGAGCAGCTATCGTATTCTCCTTTCTGCTCCATGCGTCAAACTTCTCTTTGTAGCGTCCTTGCTCAGTCATGTACTTTTCTCTCCTTTCCGTAACATGGATATTCCGCAAGTACATAAAACCTTCGCACTCGGAGCCGGTTCGCAATCGAACTTGTCGTCGTCTTCGCCTACCTTCCTTGATCTCGGTCTGACTACGTTCTCGAAGGTCAATGTCCTCAGCCCTAACTTCGAGCTCCATTTTTTCCCTCCGTCCAGTGTTCCATGGAAGTACTCCTTGAACCTTATCCCTTCGTTATTTATCTAAACCCTCCGTTTCCCCCCTACTTTATTTCGTAGATTCAGGCCTTCTTTCCCTCAAAAGCACGTTACACCTCCTCCTTGTACTGTACTTATTGGAAGGTACATATGCCATCGTCATTCGGTCCTGGGCTAACATAGTTCCCATACTCGACCCCACCCTCCGCGGAAAAAAAGCGGAGTTACACTAAGGGCCGTTTTAAACGCGGCGATTTTTCCAAAATTTTTCCTTCCAAAAACACACGGAACGGCGATTTGCGGCGCCCACACAACATTTTTCTTTTTGGAAAGTTTGGAAATTTGGAAAGAAGTAGGGGCCGAAAAAAATGGAATGGTTCGTTCCAAATATTTGGAACCTTTCCAATTTTTTTTTTTGAAATTTTGAAATTTGGAGCGAAATAGCGCTGCGTTTAAAACGGCCCTAAGGGTCGACAAAATGTCACAGCGGAACAACAGATACGGTCGAATACCAGCTCACTGGCATGCAGAAAGTATGCCCCGAGAGCCGCCGGGAGAACGAATTGTAGGCCTGACAGCCACCGAGACCTCTTCCGCCCCATCATGGCAATTAGCAGTGACACCAGCTTGTGTGCAGGTTGTAGTTGGTGGCCCCTACCTGCTGCTGCTGCTGCTGCCTCTGTCGTTTGCACCCATGCCTCACGACACGCCGTATTCTGAACAGGGTTGAAAAAGCAGCAGTGGACCGGTTACACGTACCCAACCTGTGTCACCGCGCCGGAATCTTTCACCAGGCCGTTCGATCCCAAGGCGTACTACAATCATGGCGTTTGCATTGATTCCTTGGGGGAAAAGGAAGCGGCGCTCTCTAGCTTCGAGAAAGCTTTCGAGCTGCAACCGAGCTTGGCAGATGCTGGAGCGAACGCGGCCGGCCTGCTCATTCAAACTGACGAAGCCGAGCGCGCCTGCACCCTCTGTTACCTCGTGAGTTTCTCGGGAGAGGGTTGTTACCATAGTCACACACGTTCCGCCACTTGTGCGATAGATAACCTTGTGCTAGCATATGATGATGCACTGTTGTTGCAGCCAAGCTGTCATATGCTTTGGCCGGCCCCTTAATTGAGCTAGAAAGAAACTGACAAGCTTGGCCGTTTGACCGGTTGACTTACGGCAGGCACTTGACGGGAACCCCGACTGCGCAGCCGCGTTGTACAATCTGAACACGGCTCTGCGAATGGCCGGGCGACCCAGGGAAGCGATCGCCTTGTCGTGGAGATGGATCCGGGAACGGCTTCCCGCGGGCACCCCGAGTTACGCCTCGGCAGTTTCCTTGGAAACCCTGGCCGCTGCATCCAGTAGCAACAGCGAAGACGGACCTAATCCTCACCCTTCTGCTGTTGCAACGACGAGAGCGGAGCTGCCAATTTTTTGTGGCTCGATGGGGGGCTTCGAATCGGAGGTCGGAAAGAGAATGGTCTGCATTGAAGATTGCTCTGCTGAAGGTTCGGCAGCCAAAGAACAAGACGCGGACGGAGCGAGTTGTGTCACGGTTGTGTGCATTCGGTGGGGGCCCAAGTACGGGCCGGAATACGTGGAGAGACTGGCCGCGGGTGTACGACGAAACTTGCGGAGGGACCACCGCTTCGTGTGCTACACTGATGATGTGGAAGCGCTTAGCGAGATGCCTGGGGTGGTGGCAAGGCCGCTCGGTTCGGCTAGGTGTGGGGAATGGCGAGGGTGGTGGCACAAGGCGTTCCTGTTCTCGAGGTGAATTCGGGTGGCGTTGTGACGAGCGACATACATCCGCGGTACCAACGAGTGCCCGCAGTATTTTCACGAGGGGCAAATAGGTGACGACAGGATACGTCGATTCTAGGTTTCCAGCCCCCGCTTTGGTGGCACACGATAGCCGTAAGGATCATAGGATCGGTCTCCTTGTTCGCTCAACTGCCTTGCTGCCCCTCACTCTTCGCATCATTGCCAGAATCACCCCGAGGTGCCGCGCATCCAAGGTACATTTGTTTTTCAAATGTGGAAATATAGACGTTTTGATTTTCGGTTGCGTGAGTGAGTGTATTCTTCGACCCTGACTAAACCCTGGGACATGTTGCCGACACAGGGAGACGACATTGGCTGGACGCGTTGTGTACATCGACCTCGACACGGTTATCGCCGGCTCTTTGGATGAAATCGCCGGCTATGCTGGCCCTTTTGCCGTCCTTTCTGCGGAGGGGATGGCAAACGAGCGCCGTCCAGGGGGTTTGAACAGCTCGGTCATGTCTTGGGATGCTGGTAGGGAAGTGAATACCGTCCAACCAGTGCACGACCTGCTGAAAGAGGCATATGCGGTGGTGAGTATGCCAAATCAACCTCGTCGTCGTTGTTCCGCATTACAATCCGTTCCGGGCCGCCCAGTCCCTCCAAACAGCCGTACCGGTCCACCTGCCTTGGATGTCATCTGTTGTCACCTGTCAACACCCCAAAACAGGGTACTATCTTGGACGAAGAAACGGGGACCCGGAACAATCATCACAACTGCTGTCTTCAACATTTTTCTTGTGTCTATCTGCAGCGTCTGGGCGGAAATATGACTCTTTTTGTAAGAACAAGAACGTGGGCCACGACTCTGCGAGAGTTCATATGTGCCATGCCTGCGTACCAGCACCATTTTCCACCCGCAACCCTGTTGCCCTTCAATCACATAGGTAACCGCGTGCGTGCACAAGTTTGACCACTGGCTGGAAATGGCGGTGCCTTCAGCAAGAACCTTGCAACGCGCTTTCCCGGATCAGATCGTCGAGTACACCTCTTTGCGGTTGGCAGCGGCGGCGGGGGTAAAAGCTGCCGAAGCTGGCAATTTCCTGCTGCCACAACTGCCCCAGGGCGCTCGAATAGTGTGTTTCCCCCTCCAGCCCAAGCCTCATAACGTCACGGAAGACTGGTTGCGACATATGTGGTTGGGGGAACAGGCCATCGGGTAGGAACGTACAGGATGGTGCTCTTCTTGAAAATATGTAGCGTATCTGCTGTACTTGGTAGTTTGAAAATCACTCTGAACGTAGAGAGTTGGGAGCAATGACGCAAAATCGGAGAATACAAGTTTTTTTAAGCCGACCGTTGTTGTTCACATTTGACGGTCGAACGCCCTATACTATCTAGTCACACCTCTTCCGTGGAACTGCTACTGCTAGCCTTCAAAAGTGAAGGCGAGCACTGCAGGCTGGTGCGTCAAACACAATATGCAAGATAGATGTGGTGGACTGGCGCCCACAATGAGACGAAAACACACACGCACACGCCCAGCACGGTCGATGCTAACCATTCAAATAGGCCAAACACACACACACCTGTGCCACATGCATAGTTCGCAACCTTTACGGGAGACGTGATATTGGCGCCGCATTCAGCGTGCACGATCAGCGTTTCTCGATCGCCAGTATTCCAGTGTCACCAGGTAGCTCCAAATACCCTAGAGCCTCCCCAATACAATCACCAACTCCGGCCCATCGGCAGATGCAAGAACCATCGCGCTTTCCACACCGGTGTAATGTCGGGCACGACCTCTGCATGCTTGCATATCGCATGTCGACCGCAAACTCAGCATATATGCTCAGAGGTGCGCCTGTCCTGTCTCATCCAAGAACAAGACCTTTCCTAACCCATCCCACCCCGCGCAGGGCGCAGGCCAATACCATCCAATCAAATCTGTCACGAGAGAACTCTTTCAATCCCATCAACACATATGGTACACATTTTCCACCCCAACCCATCACCACCCACGAGAGACTAATCCCACCTCGTCAAAAAGTGACGGCAAGTTCTAAAAACTCCGCCTGCGCCAGCCTGTCTAGTACCATCCCACACAAGCGACCACAAGCAAAAACCTGCAAAAAGATTGTGGACCTCAACCGAGAACGGAGGCTACTCCCAGCTTGTCATACATACATACATACGCTGTTCGTTATACATATACCAAGCTCAAAGCGGCGGCGGCAGCAGCTGCAGCAGTAAATACGAAACACGAGTCACCGACGGCTGACCTAAGAGTCGACGGCGGTGTGCGCTAGATTACTATCGCGCCAGAGTACACAAATCTACGGAACTACGGGACCAAACAATGCGAGCCTTGTACACCATACGTGCACCTACTTGTATTCTACACGGGTAACATCCTGTTCTGGCTCACCCGTCAACTTCAACTAGACAACTGAATTCCACATTTTCCGACCCTACCGGATCCGCCTTCCGAAAAATAAAAAATTTGCAGCGCTCGTCAACGCCACATATAACACGTATACAGGGTACGACAGGAAAGACAAGGTTTCATAACACGGGGTTTGAAAAGGACAGCTAACTAGGGAGCCCCCGGCAGCCCCGAACTAGCTGCTCTTGATCGACCGGCACGCCCAACGCCTTCCAAAAATACATCGTGCCGACGATCACACATCAACAACAGGACGTTACTAGAATCTACTGCATCCACCGTACTATGTTCGCACGTTCAGCACCCATCAGCTCTCTGCTACCGAATAGTCCAAATCAAATTTCGTGGAACCTAAGCGAACAAGTGGAACGAAGAAACGTGACTGACAAAAACACCACCCAACCAAATTACATGTACCGAGGTCTCTCCCAAAAGACGCCCGACTTGGATTTTTTTTTCAGTAGAAGAAAACACAACAGCGAAACACCCCACAACACACGCAGCGACAGAGATACGCCATCAAAACTCTGGTAATACATGATGGCGCATGTTTACCACCCCACACAGGAAAAAATAAACTCCTGGATTCTACCTGTGACGGAAACATAGTGGGTCGCACGAGATCAAATAGATCGGGGCGACATTCCTCGCCGTCCGGGCAATACATAAAAAAAAAAATAATATACTCACATGAGCGTGCCCAATACCCACCCAACCTCTCGGAAGCGTACCTACCATCGAGGGAATTAGAGCGTGCACACCATGTCATAAAAGCGAAAAAAAAAACTCGCGCTACAAACAAACTAGGAGCACCAGAATAGTACAGCCCTCCTATGTTGGGCCAGGCTACCCGCACGCTAGCTTCCTCGTCTTTTCGGGCTAAACAAAAGTGGCACACGCTCACGGCGGCAGAAGAGCCATCAAATCGACAAACTTGACGTTTTAAACGGCAAAAAAGAAACAAGCACCACATTTCTTGAGTAGTTTGACGGCTCGCCAGAACGCACCGGCTTTCTTGGGATTGAGTGTGTTCAAGCCCCGAAGCCATTTCCCAAACCCCGAATCAATCGTCCTGTTGTGCCTCGTCTGACTACGGGAGATCTGCCCTTGGGCTGCCCGACTCGGACGCATTTGCCATCATCACCATCGTCCCTGCGGGCGCGTGGACTCCCTTTGTGGTTTTGTGGCCAGGGGAAGATCGCCTTTTGACCGCGGACCTTCCGCGTTCAGAGCTCCTTCCGCGATCTTCGGCTGGGCGCCCCCGCTTGGGGGTTCCTTTCATTTCGGCTTCGGCGACTTTGCCATCCTGCTCCCGTTGCCCTGAAGCGATGTCCGCAGTGTTATCGCGTCCGTACGGGGTACCTGACTTCCCGGCCGCAGCAGCCGTAGTATTGTCAAAGACAGAGTAATCCGAATCCTCAGCATAATCGCTTGTGCCGCTCTGGCTGTACTGCTTCACGAACGCCCTCCGCTTTTTGGCGAGCTGCTCCGGGTCGCTGGGTACCGCGGGCACGGGCCCCGCGAGGGCAGGGGAAAGGTTTCGGTCGCCACCAACGGCGAGACCGTCCTCGTTGGTACTCCCGCCAGCGGTGTCCGGCCCCCTCACCTGATTCTTGACCCAACTATTGTCGGGTTTGCCAATGCTGCTGTTCGAACGACCCATCAAGGCCAGAGCCTCTTTGGCATTGGCCGAGGATTGCTCCGCCCTAGCCTTGACCTCTTCCTCGTCGGCCTGGGACCAGCCCCGAGCAAGGCCTCGTGCATACGGCGACCTTCCCCGAGGAAGGGCAGGGCTGCCCCGGCCCGTCTTACCGGTGCTACCGGCGCTCTCGCTCCTACCGCTGAAGACCTTGATCTTTTCGCGAACAGACGAGCCCTCGACCTCGCCGCCCGCCGAAGACGTTGATCGCGGAGACATCACCACCTCCTGATCCTCATCGGAGTCATTGGCGATCATCTCCGCGTCGGCCTCAGCTTCCGCCTGACTCCAAGTGGTTTTTTGAGAGAAAACAATCGAAAGAGAATGCAAGTTGGTATTCCCACCGACCACAGGTACCGTTCGGCGCGTTAAAAAAAGAAACAAATGAGTTCCAAGTTCCGTAAAGAAATATTGCAAATACCAGGAGGCACTTGTGACATTAATTGGCAAAAAAATAAGGATGGCCAGTCTTGTTATATCGATCCAACCCACGTTTCGCCCAACAAACTAACACGCAGAGAGAGAGGCAATGATGAAAACAGACGTAAAATAGACCACTTGCAACAGGACCCGCCGCACCAAAAAAATTGCTCTGGGCGGAGGGGAGGTTCTGTGGGGGATATGTTCAAAAAATCATAACTTTTTGCCCCGGGATCGGATTTTCATAAAACAATTTGCGTTGGATAGCTGACGAGCTGAAGTTTTTTCTGCAATTTTTGTTTATTTGTTTTGGAAACGAGGCACAAAGATAATGTTATTCTTAAACGAAAATCAACCCTTTCCCCCGAACTAAATTTATATTTTCTCGAACAGCCTGGGTTATTCAACAAAAACCCAAGATATTCGTCCCCCCGTTTTCCAAAAAACAAGGCAAAAATCACCAAAAAAACTTCAGCTCGTCAGCTATCCAACGCAATTTATTTTATGAAAATCCGATTCCGGGGCAAAAAGTTATGATTTCTTGAAAATATCCCCCACAGAACCTCCCCTCCGCCCAGAGCATTTTTTTTGGTGCGGCGGGTCCTGTTGCAAGTGGTCTATAACACCCACCTCCAACGCCGCCTGTGCTGCTAGATCCGCCGCTCGCGACGCCATCGCGGCGGCGGCCAGCGCCCTCTCGGCCGAGAGCTGTGCATCCCTCGCCGCCTTTCTGGCGCTAACCGCACGCGTGCCAGGCGAAAGCCCGAAGTTCCCGGGCTTGCCGGACGATCCGGCGGAAGTAACAGACCGCCTAGCGCTTCCGAAAGCGCCGAACAGACCGGGGCGGGCGGACCTGGAGCTCCTGATGCTTTGGAAAGAGCTAGGGGAGGGGCCGTCGGGGATGCCGATCGACAGCTGCGAGGTGAAGTTATTAGCGTCGCGGGGGCCGTAAGAAGGGGGAGGGGGGCGGTCATCAGGGGAGCCATTGCGGCCTGCGCCGCCGTCCATAGCGTCGCCGTAGGACGGCGGCAGGGAGGACGCCTTGCGGACGCGGATCTTGCTCTTGTTCCTGAGGTGAGTGGACCGTAGTTCTTCCCAGCTCACGTCTGACGGAAATTCTTGGCCGATATCAGCCTTTGAAATGGCCGGAGGGCGGAGGGAAGGAGGATAGCAGGAAAGAAGCCGAGGGTGGGGGTGAGGTAGTGTAACGAAGTGAATTGCAACGGGAGTGCAAACGGAAGGTGCTGTCAGGAGTAGCGCGAGAGCATATGTGGTTGAAATCAACATCATAATCCAGTGTTAATATTGCGAAGAACAACGTACTGCGTGTGACGGTCCTTGGTTTGGTTTTGAGAAAAAATGAACCTTATGAAACAAGCCTCGAGACTATTTCGCGCTGAAGTAAAGTTCCCATTAACCAACTAAACATGGAAAGTCCTTTTCCGATGTTGCAACGGACTACAAGGGGCGCTGCGGACAGGTTGCATCACAGGGCCGGCTACCAGGTTTCAACGAGAGGCCAACCGACACCCCCAGAACTTCCACATTGTACACTGGCTCTAATTGTTCGACCATCGTTAACACTCGCTCTAGTCGAGGATGAGCGCCGTGAGCCAACAAGAAAGAACATGCAAAAAAAAAAAACAAGATGAGGCATCTCCACGAAGACAGACCGCATTTTGGCGCCCTTACCTACACTTGGTTATCGCTGCCGCGGCAAGTTGGTTTTCGGTTCAATGCTGATTCCTGCCCGATAGCGTCCGTAAACCCAACGTGGGGACGTTCATAGAGCCCAGAAACAAAACGGGCTTTGGCTATGGGAAACGCTGAAGGTACCTCAACCAAGATATTGCACTGAGCCAACCTGCCAAAATTTGCGCCTACCAACAATTCGAAATCCGAAACGCACCATTCCATTCCTGTAGGTCTGACGGGAAGGTGTGGCAGATTTGCTCCTCGCGTTGTCTTCCAAGTCGTACTGACCCTTGCTGTCCAGCCTGCCCGACTTCGATGTGTCGTGCATCGACTTCGACCTCCGTGAGTTGGCCATCGACAGGCGCTGACTCCTTCGACCCCGTTCAATCGTGCCCACCGCGGGCATCATGCCGTCATGCTCCCAACGTGAGGCATCGACATCCTCTTCCACCGTCTCGTGGCGTGCCGAATCCTGCGAATGATCATCCGCGCGGCCCTCGGACTTGCTGCGGCGCATACCGAGGACGAAAGGAGAACGAGAAAGCCTTCCATCTGGGCTGATGCCGCTGGAACGCCTGCGGCCTGGCGTCACTGACAACTGGCGTTCGCCGCGGTCAAACCCGTCGCCCCTGGGGGGTCCTCGCGAGCGTCCGACGCTCCTGGACCTGGAAACAAAAGCTCTGGGGGATCTTCCACCGTCGTAGCCCTCATCAACCGAGTGCTCGTACATGTGGCGCCCACGGAGGTCGTCTCTACCGTTAGACGTGGTCTGGCGGGGGGTCCTGAAACTTCCAGACCTTCCTGGGGTGTACGCGCCCTCTGCCGCGGGCGAACGTGAGGTGGCGGAGACCTGGCCTGGGCTAGACCTGTACATGCGGGGCCCCTCGGAGCGGCCCCGTGACAGCGAGCGGCCGCGCTGGTTCTCGCCCATGGCTATGCATCTCCCGGGGCTGGGGTGGGTTTGACTCGACGGCCCATCCGTTCCAGCGGGGCTGGCGCCGTACGACGTTATACCGCCGTCGGTCGATCGCGACGCCGAGCGCCCCTTGAGAGGGTTGCCCATGCTGAAGCCGCGTCCCTCTGAAGTGTTGAAGTCGTTCGATCTGCCGGGGGTCGTGCGGCCGAGCACGCCACCTAGCTCGAGGTCGTGGGCTTCATCCGCGGTCTTCATTTTCTCGGCGCTGCGGCGACGGCACATGATGAAGCAAACCGCTAATAGAGCGGCAATAATGGCGACGCCTAGCGGAAGGGGTGGAAGCAAAAGATAGCAGCACGCAGGCCGAGGGGGAAGGGACGCGGGACGGCGCTGGTGTCTTAAAAAAGGGGCGCGGGTACGGATAGGGGAAAATACGGCAGTCGCCACGGCAACACGTGATAAACGCCGGTCGCCCTGGCGTGATCAAGTTGGTGCCCTAGCCTAAGTGTCCTAGCGGCGAGGTTCAGAAGTCGTCGACGACGTGTTACATCCGCATCCCGCAATAACACTGCGACAGAGGTAATCAGATGCGGTTGATCGCAACTACCCTTGAGGAAGGAATGGATCAAGCCTTACGCGGCTCCAAAACGAAGGCAATGCAACGCAAACGAGTCGTTGTTGTGACCTCCCATCGAGGCTCTTCGTTAATGCAGCCAAGACCGAAAAAAAAGGGATGCGGGAGACAACAAATATCAAACATCAGCAGTTCTCGCCCCGCTCTCGCGTCGGGCTTAGGGCCCGTTATCTACATTCCCCGCCCGTCGGGGCCCTTCGCCGCGATGTCCCCCCCCCGCGGCGAGAGGGGTTAGCGCCTACAAAAACGCACGGTTTTGAGCCTCCCCGCGAAGCTTGCGGAGACAAAAACAAATCTACAAAGTTGTCAATCGTCCAGCGAAGGACGCTCGCTGCTATCCGACGTGCGGAAGACGCTCCACAGCAGTGGTTGGGCAACGCGCGCGTTTCACACCACACCGGCTACAACAGGTATTCGGGACACGAGCAAAGCAGCAGCCGTGCGGGTACAAAAGTGGAAGTCTGCCGTCTGCCAGGAGTAACGCGGATACAAAGATGGTTGGTTTAAATCAACATCAGCATCGAGGGTATCGCGAAGAACAACTTACTCCATGTGACGGCCCTTGGCTTTGAGAAAACATGGATCGTCGTCAACAAGCCCCGAGACTACTTCGCGCTAAGAGCAAGCTCCTACCCGCACCGAGCATCATAACGGAGCATAAAAACGCCACAAGGCCCCGCGACTGGAATGCTCACCGCAGACTCCGGCCACGATGAGCAAAGCCAAGCTCATGTCCCCGACCCCCGTTCCTCCGGCCTCATCTTGGTACTCTGGTACCTCGACGGAGGAAGGGGTGCTTTGTGCCTCCAGGAGTTCGAAGAACGAGCTCCGTCCCGAAACGGATGAATTTCGGTCCGTGACTTCGACGAAATAGCCAAGTCCAGGTTCTTCGCTGCACGACGAGGACAAACACCAGAGACCGCGCGAAGCAAAAGATGGTCGTTAGAATAACAAAGGTAATATAATGATGGGAGGGAAGGGGAAGGGGGAGGGGGGGCAAGGTGGGGAGCGGGCAAGAAAAACGGAAAGGCTCTGCACGGAGTCGGCGAACAGAGTTCGTCAAGGGCAACGTTGCCACGCCGTTGTGATACTGAGCACCAAGCTAAATAGTTGTCGTCATCCATAGCAGTGGGCACGCATGCCGCGTAGACCGATACAAGTATCAGCAGGCAGAAAAACCAGCACATTGTCGGTTTAAGATTACAACTTTGTGAGCCCAGAAATTCGAGGCCCGAAGAAGTATGCATGAGGAGAGTGCGTCACACTCTACCCTTTTTTCGGGCACACCAGCCGGGGTCACACTCGGTACCACATGATTAGTTCCCAGCCCTTCGACAGTAGCAGACAACAGCAACAACCACCCACACACATTTTCTGCACTCACTTGGCTGATATTCTCACCAACACCGAGCCATCGGCGACGTTGCAACCTGCCGACTCGCTGCACCAAGCAGCCACCTAGCGGGTGGGGGGAGGAGAGAGAACGGCAGAGATAGGGTAAAATCATTACATAATTTAGCAAGAGAACGAACTGGTGTGGACACAGGCATGCGTTCTGCCATTAGTGTGCTCTTTTGGTTATGTTGAAGATAGCAACATGTTTGACTCGGCGATTTGTTGGCAACACCTTGCCCGCTCTCTATGTAGTACTTTAAAGCAGAGGACACCGGTAGCCGCGCCCACCCACGCCTTCTGCAGCAATAGCAACACAACAGCTGTGGAACGTGCAAAACTGCAGCAAGAAAAGCTTCAAACCTGCGGAGCGGGCCCACACATACCGAACCCATGTCCATGCTTACGCCACCGCACAACATATGTGTAAAGTGGATAGGGACCCTGGTTCCCAATGACTACAGTATCCGAGTGCATCGATGTGGAGCGTATGCGTAGGTTATGTTGTGTCGTTCGTATCAACGCTACAATACCTGTCGATTTTTTTCTCAAGTCAGGATTTTCTATGAACCCATGTACCCCTATATTCAACTCTCTCAGAATGATAATCGGTGAATGTGACGTGATGAAGTAGTGTGTACGGCGTGCGGCACCCAAACTACGCAAAACGTGCACCACTCGACAATGTTTTCGTGTTTGCAGTCAGCAGCATGAGCAGACAACACTTCGACAAAAACTATGCGAGAGCTGTGTTGCACATGTATGATTGTCAGCAGAAACAGAGAGGGCTGGGAACAACAGCAGTATGCACACAATGCGCCAAGGCTACCACTCGACAACGGACGTCATGGAAACAATCATAACCTTACCAGCCGTTACATAAGCTGCACCGACAGCGACACCGTCGTGTTCCCGACGTGATGCGACAACACAAGTGCTGATCTGCCGTCCAATGTTCGCGACAGCCAGTCCATGAATCATCCTCTTGATACATGATAAAAAGTTCCGGCAGACCATGGACCTCGGAGTGCCTTACCCTTGGTATGCATGCCTATATCCCTGTGCACAAGAAAAGGTTCTACTGTAGAAACAAGTGGTTTGCTTCGATTTTTACTCGTCTAACGAACGACCAGCAGAAAATGTAGCATAGCTGCTGATACTGCTGTACAATCAACAAGTCAGGCAGAGTCACACAGGAACGCATCCTTTGAAAATTCAATGCAAAAAGACTCCAGCACATCCCGTTCGACTGTGGTGGGTCATGTCTCGAACGGGGTATTGTAGTCTTGCTGTGTTTGTATTGATTTTTCCTAAAAATGAAGACACGAAAAGCGGCTGCTGTACCTCTCTCCTACATTACATTACCCCCACCTGATTGGCTCCTTTGAAGAGGTCGATGTCGTACGGGCCAACCACAGTCTCTCCCGTAGTCGTGAACTCAACCAAAATGGGTTCTCCGCCGTAGATGGTATCATCGCTGGGTGCATGCACAGGAGAGGGGGGTGGGAGGAGGGCAGCAGAAGCCACGAGACAGCCGTTGGAAACAAGCCAGCACGGCTCTGGAAGTGGGGAAATCTCGAAAAGAGAACACCGATGTTATCGTAGATATACTGCTGCGAAACGAGAAATCACACGGTGGCACGCACCCACTGGAAAAATCAATGAAAGCATCATGTCTTCCTTTCCAGCCCTTACATAACACTCGGGGTATTGCTTGCCTCTTCCTGTGGAGTTCTGCGCAGAAGGTATTGGTTTTCGACTTTACGGACTTTGGGAAGTGTTGTGACAGCTTCTGGAGAAAACGACAAGCGTGGCCAAAGCCGCTAAGACACCCCGACAGAATACGCACACAGCGCACAACACTATTTATGCAAATGATGTACGCATCACGACAAACAAGCGAGTGGGGAAAAAGCGCACGTTGTCGCCCCGCAAAAGAAGACTGCAGCAGTATGCATACGCAGGGGCAATCACAGACCTCCTCCCTTGCACCGGTTAAAAACAAAAAACACGACTGCTGTACCACAGCTGGCCATAAAAGTCGAAGAGTCTGTTAGTAAATAGACTAGAAGTACAGTAAGTCTTCTCAACCTGGTCGGGGAGGTGACGGTGATGGTCTCTTCGGCTTGGGCCTCGACAATGGCAGCTCCTTCCACCAGGCACCCTACCGCTGCTGCTGTTGCCCACGCCGCCACGACGAGCAGAGGATCAATCCAACGGACGATACGGGGAGGGGAGCAAGATCAAACAAGGCACCGGCAACACACCCGATCGCACTTCAAACTTTAAGTAACACTTACCTGAAAAACAATCAAAGGGGCGTGATTTGCCGCTTCTCGCCCTCTAGGTGTGTGTCGCTTTGGTCACTCTGGCCACTGGTCCGGCGAGAGTACCTACATGGCTAATAACTGAACACGGCTCGATTTTCCGTCGTTGCATTTTTTTCAAAAGTTTAAAGTGGACAAACAAAAAAGCGACTCTTTGAAGCTAACCGCGGCTGTTCAGATACACCTTGCACAAACAGGAAAAATATTTACGAGCTCTTGGCATCTTGGCATGGGCACATTCTTCAGAGGGGTATGCAGAGGGTAGGGTGCGTTTCCCGGACGGTCAGCCGCAGACCACGATACGTCATATGGATTTCGAGGAAGGCGTCGCGGACAGAGATTGTCGGACTATTTATGGAGTAGCCGCCGGCCCTCTCTGAACTGCTTGACTGTTGATGGGGGTTTCTGCACTGGACCTGAAATCTTCTAGTGAATTGCTCGTGTCCAGTCGACAGCAGTCAGTCAGTCAGCAGTCGACAACAAACGGGACTGGGGCGTGTTACCTGTGGGGAACAATCAATCACCAAGGAAGTACAGGATTGAGCGGCTGATGCTTGGTGTGCGAATAGACACGACCCTCACCTAGCAATATTGACCCCCAATTCAGATTTCGCCCCTTCCTTGTTGTGCGAAGGGTTTTCCTGCTGCCCTCCACATTGGGCTCCGACGCCATGTCCCACAAGGTCATGAGGAAGCGAACAGGGGCGCCAGATTGTCGTGCTCCTTGCAGATTGCTCGTCTGTCCGCGGCGGCAATGCCCTCTGGAGACAAAGGGTGAGCCTCGCTTCGGGGATGGGTGCTTGTTCGGGTTGTCGGTGGAGGTTGGCGGCCCACCGCAGCAGAGAGGGGAGCCAAGGGAGGGAGACGCTGCGTCGTGTGGCGGACTGCTGTTCTGTGTTGTGCCACCTCTAGCGAGGGGGGGGGCACCGCAAAATGTTTGGAACAGTAAACGATGGTACAACGAAATCGTACAACCCCGACAGTTCCCGCCAACGATCATCTCTCTGCTCTGTCTGCTGTGTGCATGCGGCAACATGAACGAACACGAAGTAGCGCCGCACTGCTCGAAGCATCCGCTGGTGCCGACTCTCGTACGTTGTACCAGCTTACTCATGCCCGGGGCAAAGGAGGCAGCAAGGTGAATGCAATATCCCCAACCTACCAACGTCCCCCGGTAAGCGTCGGAGCAGTAGACTACTGCTGCTGCTGTAGTATCTTGCATCGAGGTAAAACCACCGAAGACCTTCAATTTTTATGCCTCTCGTCCCAGCCAGTAGAGATGTTAGGGTTACAGTAGGTCATGGCTTACGTGTGTATGGTACCACTGTAGACTCACCGAGAAACGAGAACAGGGTGGCATCACAGACGTCCTAAAATGTACACTCCGCAAGACCTTTGCTTTGCCGCGTCAAGCATCAACGCCGCATGCGGAAAGAGCGGCGCTACTTTCCCTCCTCGTCTGCCGTTGGTGAGCTGTGCCGCGGTACTAATATTTACAACTGAACTGCTGTTGTTTGTTGTAATGGCCAGGTGTAACCACTGTAGACTAACAGCAGGATACAGCAGTATAGTAGCAGACTACCGGTACACAAGGTAGGCGGTGTGCAGATGGAAGTGGGGCAGATGAAGGAACAAGAGTGCGCAACCCCCCGTCATCCTTGGTGTGAATATGGAACAACATGCATGATGTGAGAAAAGATACGCGTTGACAAACCTTGCGGCTTAAGGGTGCTTCTTAGGGTTACAGTATTGTTAACGCAACGACGAAATCGTTCTTTTTAAAACGGAACGGTTGAAAGAAAACCCCGACTTTTTTTTGCTTGTTCTTTTCGTGATGTCATAAAAAAAAACACGTTTCCTTCCCTGAATACACGCTTTGCTCGGCACACAACAGGTTGACATGGTATTGCTCACCATAGAGCAGCGATAAAAGCGCAATACGCAGCACCCGGCACAGAGGACAACACACTTAGAAAGATCCCGTCCACCGGGCCTGCTGTTTTCAGTTTTTAGCAACAACAGGCGCACGGCAGAGTGTCGCAACCTGGGTGTTGCTTGCGATTTCTTCAGTTTGCCAGCTCATTTTTCACGGTTGCGACTCCCATCTTTGACCACCACCTACCCAAAGGTAGACGAGCTCAACAATCATAGGGCGGCAGCCGCGCTGACGGCCAGCATCATATAGATGGCCAATCCGAAAGAATTAGCGTGTTGGAGGCCCTGTTGCTCTACTGCTGGTGACGCCGTGGATTGATGTTGATGTGTCCGACCAAAAACAGATCATCTCGCCGCAATTTTTCCAACGGCATTTTGGTGAGGTGGCACACGTCTCTCACACACCTTATTGAGCAGCACCCAAGCACCCAATACCCACGAAGCAGCACGGCGCCGGGAGATGGTATCATATAGACAGCCGAACCGAAGGAATCAGCGCTTTGGAGGTCTTGGTGGTGCTGCTGTACTCGTTCTACTGTTTCCGTGTTTGCTATGTGTGATCGAAAAAAATTCCCCAGCACCAACAGCAGCAGTTGAAGACGAGAGCACCACGCAATGTCTAGTTTTGGACCAAGAACGGACTGAACGCCGCTTCTGCCGCTTGTCCATCTCCACAACAGACCTGGACGTGAGTCTGGCAGGTCTTTCTAGCGTTCTCAGTGATGTTACAGCGCCTGCGGTGCGCTTGTCCGATGCTTCTGTCAAAAACACGAATTCGTTTAAGTAGCAAGCCCCAAAAAAACCGGGCTCCTTCTTTTCACGCTTTCGTTCAAAAACGCCTCCATATGTGTTCAAGAAAAAACGGTTTCGTTTTTTTTTTCGTGTTTTATTGGTCGATAAGAAGTTAAGCGTGAAAAGGTTCTCCAGAAAGTATTTGCCTACAGACAAGTATTTGGGCAGGTTCTCAAGAAAGTATTTGCCTGCCAGACAACTACCAAAATACAGTAGCGGCTACGGATTTAAGAGAGAGGAATTGGCGTGTACCAATAACAATCGATTTAAGAGAAATTTCCTTTTGCAGCTGGGATTTTTCTCTTAAATCGAACAATGTGGAAACCACGTGGACACACACACCCACACAGCTGCAGACACCATGCCCTGCGTGGCGGGCAGTCGCTGCACGGCTGTCCCCGATCACACGCCAGGCCCGCCGGCGTTCACAAACCACCAATGTAGAGGAGTCTGCAGGCAGTACCTCCATGGCACCTGTGGTGTGGTGGACCCTCAGGGCACCTCCGAGATGCATCGCATCTGCCACAACTGCCTTTCCTCCCGTGAGCGCATGACTTCAGGCTGTAGAGGACAACGTGGAGGTAGCCGAAGCGATCGTTACAGAGATGGTAGAGGACCTCTGTGATGAGAATTTGGTGGCCATGGATCTTTCCTCTGACGACGAGGACGACGACCTGGTTGAGCTACGCCAATCGGGACAGTCGGCGGCGGCAGCGGCCCCGGCTCCGCCGCCGTACGCGAATGTAGCAAATCATTTTGGTGAACTTGAGGATACTGCCGAGAAGTGCCGCATGTCCGAAGTGTCTTTTCACCTCCGCAAGGCTAAGCTAGCGTGGATGAGTGCCTACGGTTCGAGGGAAACCAAGCAGACGTGCATGAGCGACTTCCTTTGACGGTTGCAGCGCAGATCGTGTTCAGGCTGACAGGTCGCCAGGGTAGCGTTGGTTTCTTGGGTTTGTGTTATTTGTACGGCGAGTGATGTTTTGATATTGTGAAGCTGTTTTTTGTTCGTTGACTCGTGTTTTTGTCGGGGGTTCAAATCGATGGGATGAGAGGTATGAGGGTGTTACATATGTTGAGGGTACGGTGGGAGGAAGGTGCAGTGTGTAAACGGGTGCGTCGTTCTTGAGTGCTGGTGCATTCGTCGCCTCGTGTTGTCCTTCTAGAAGAGGTGCAACTATGAAACCCAGCTATAAAACAACTCAACCAAAACCTTTTACGTGTCCACGTGCAAAAATGTGCATCGCATCACACGACGATGATTTATTTTTCCAGAACGCAGATCCACCAAAAGCGTACAACGTACAGCAGTGCTTGGGTCCACGTGCTTGCCAACCAAGAGAATGAGCGGTGTTTGGAGGTAGCCCGACGTGGTAACGCTAGCTGCGCAAGTGACATGCATGATACGCTCTCTTTATGACCTATTTTGGCATTCGAGTGTAGTCAGTGCGCGAGAGCCCCTGTTTCACGACCTTCAGTTTTGTCTACGATATAAGAGAGAATTCTCTTAAAGTGAGATTCTGTTTAAGAAAATTCTCTCTTATATCGTAGCCAACACGATATAACAGAAAGCCGGATTTAAGAGAGTGAAATTGGCTTGTACCGACCCTCTCTTAAACCGTAGCCGCTACTGTAATGTATTTGTACAGGATGTGAACTTGTTCACCATCCGATCCCGTCACGGCGCGTGGCCCGTTCCATCCTGTCCCACAGCGGTGTACCTGTGTTGTGTTACTGTGACAGCAACTCGACGAGTATCGTAGCGTTGCCTGTCTGAAGCTGTCAAGTATTTTAGCGGTTAATAAAAAAGTCGAGAGCGCACACAGCGACCGCTCGTTCACCGAGCACGACCGATAGCTCGCCGAAAATAAACGTATCGTTTGACATCCTCGTCGTCGTGGACTACCATTATTTAGCTGTAAATATTGATGAAGGGAACATTTGACTTTTATTACAGTCTACCTTTCTTTCTTCGCCTCAAGGTTTGCCATGCCAACGGGATTCGGTGACGGTTCACCTTCGAGCTAAGTAAGGTAGTAGCTCGTTTCTGTCAGGACAGTACGAACTCGTGACGACGTGTTACAAAAAATGTCATGGACAACTGATCGACCAACAAATCCATCCACGGCCGAAAGCCGAAAGGTTGGGATTTCAGTAGTGCGAGAAAAGGATGAAGATGGCATTTCGGTAGCTTTCATTTGGGAGTGACGAAGGAGGGGGGAACGCAACGGGAAAGGGAAGAAAAGACAGGGATGAAAACGATGACTGAGAGGAAAGATGGATGGCGTGGAAGAAAGCAAGACAAGAGTTTCGAGCCAGTGGGAATATCGGAATATTGGCGACAAGAGGTGGCGGTGAATGCAGGGAGGATGATGAGAGCACCCCCAGACGAATGCGCGTTCAAAGTAGCAGCCTCCGCAAACATGCTTTTTTTCCTTCATAACATTGCCTCCCCCTCACGGGGTCCCAGATGATGGCCTTGAAAAACCTTTCGTCTTTTCAACCGCGTTGAGACTCATGTCATGTCTTTTCCGTTGGTCGGCCGGTTAGAAATCACTCAATTTGAACGCTGCGCTGCACAGAAACTGCCACCATTCCAACTTGACGAGGCGAGCGGCAAGAACTTCGGTGTAGGGGCCATTTTGGTCACGCGAGGTCACCACCAGAATAGAATGGCCAAGAATTTCGTGAGCGTACAGAAAATCAGTCTCGAATTTTGTCACAACTTTTCTGCCACATCACAAAAAAAATGGAATGCTGAACCTCTACCCGCGACTGAGGCCCCAATTTGAACTTGGGGAACAACTACAAACCGAATGAATGTATCACCGCTCTACGACAGACGCCGTTCAATTGGTCAGTCTGTTACGCGGTCGACGCAACGCACGACACCGTACACGAAAAGAGCATGAAATCCATCGACGGATGTGTACCACAAGCAAATGCTTCTAGTTGTTGATGTTGTCTTCACACCAAAACCCGATCTGGTTTCTGCTAAAAACTCGCTCCGGTCTCCGCTCAGTACCTTTTAACACCCGTCCCAGTCCAACTGACGCGAACGCCTGTCGTAATTACAAGGCAAAAAGAGGGTACGCAATTGCATAACAAAGAAACAAGGACCCAAAATCACCGCAAGACGCGATAAGTGGTGAAAACGGGAAAAAGCGAACACGATATGAGAAAAAAAACTGACCGCGCACACTGGACGAAAAATAAATATGGAGATGGCGTGAGGATAAGGATTTTGGCCTAATATGAAATTAATCTTACTGTCAAGCAAATCTTTTGTAATCCCTCATCCTCCTCTCTCGTTACATGACGCCACCAACTACGTTCAGAAGGGAGGACGCTGTCGTTGACAATCAACCGCAGTTACCAACGTAAAAATCGAACCCGCCTTATATAGGAACTAGCTCTGTATGGAATACAGATAAGTAACGAACAAGTTCTTCGTGGGCGGCATTGGACGCTAATACCGCTTACAAAAAACAACACCAAATGTACGGCACCTGGAAAATGTAACGACCGCCCACGTAGTACACCGGTCTACTCTATCGCACGCCACAGAACGTACGGCATTATTACACCTTCGACCTCTTAAGAAAAAAACTGCTGTGCTGTACGGATGTCTTCGACGGCAGGAAACACGAGCCTCACCGGACGTGGTAATTCTACGCTGCCAAGCATACACTCGCCTCGCGACAATACAAACGAGCCTCAATCAATCATCAACAAGATTATATCGTAAGCTAACCAGTGCCGCCCAATGTGCAAGATCAGCCCGCGGCTCCGCAATGCAACACCTTTGCGGGCATGCATCCGTCATCATCGTCACATCTGCTTTAAAACCACCATAAGAAACTCTTCCCCCGTGTTGACCCGTTAGAATATATAACCTTCCACCAGGGATGCTGCCGAACTGGGCACACGCACCACCAGCGGCTGCTGCTGTATTCATGAGAGTTGAACAGGTTTCGAAGCAGCCAAGCATGGTTTTCTCAGCAAGCGAGAAGCCGTGCTTCGCAAAGTAACAATCACCACAGAGGTCACATGGCGCACCATATAGCGGCTGCCTTCGTACAGAAGCGAGCCTTTCATCAAGCGATTTCATACTTACCTCCACAAACTACAGGGCGTCGAGCAGCCCCCACTACAGCGCCCCTTGCGATCACAAACGCTGCTCGCAACCAAAAAACGCGGCACGTGTTGTTCCTGCAAAAAGAAAAAGGCAGGACGACCTAGTCGGTAGACGGTTGAGATCCATCCGCGAGTGTCGCTCCGTTCTCGAGGTCGAACGCCACACCGTCGGGGAGTTCGTTGCCCGTCACAAGGGTCTCGGTCGAGTCGTCGAAGCGGAGAGTGTCGATGCCGGAGAACTTGTTGTCGAGGATCATGGTGTTGTCCGACTCTTTGACCGCAATTCCCTTTTCCTCTCCAGGGTCGGAGATGGTGTTGTTCCTGATAACGTTCAAGCGCGGGCGTCCGTCCCAGTCCGCCGAGGCCTGCGAAAGAGAAGAAAAGGGCGTGCGACGAGCGGAGGAACGGATGACCCGAGGAGAAATTACCTATCGCGGCACCAAAACGGAGTAAAACACGCTACAGCATTAGGGTTGCACATACTGACAGCGAACTGAGAGCACTGCCGCGGGAAGCGGAAGATGCAGTTCGTCTCGGCAACCCATACCCATGTGCTGCCGACGTAGAGAATACCCCAGACGACTACGGACTACAAGGTGCGATACAAGAAGAACATGTTACGTGGAGGGACGCAAGAAGAAGAAAGCCGTGCCCCAGATCTAAACACGGGGGGGGAGAGCCCAAAACGATTATTTAGGGTCCGCACCTCTGCCTCGTCGCTGCCGCGGTAGAAGAACACCCCGTAGCGAGTTGAGTCGGACATGACGTTGTCGTACACGTCGCATTCCTCAGCACCCAGGCTCAAGCGAATGCCGTACTTTCCTCCCTGAGGTCGTGCGATTGTACGTAGTTCCACGTGCATTTATTGAGTGTGATCGGCATCCAGAACGGATGTCAGCATAAGTGACGCCTTCGAATCGGCCAAACCTCATTCCAACTAACTTGCCTACGGACTGTCCCGCACATTGGAACCTCTCATTTAGATCTCTAAATCCTGAGGTTCCAACCTTCAAAGTGGAACTTCGCAGTATATGTTGTTCCCAAGCCAAGAACCTTGTGAAGTAGGATTTTGTGCCCAATCGTGCATTCTTGTACGCCAAACAAAGAATCCATGTCCAGAACATGTCGATCCAACACACAGAGAAGCACCAAGTCTAAAAACCTGGCTATTCCGTTGCGTACGGGACAGAGATATTTTTCCCACCCTCAATAACAGTGTGTAACATTAGGAGCAGACACTTCATCTAAGGGTCGAAAGTACGACGTGTAGCGTGTGGACACGCTCGTCTGAGCGTCTTCGTGCACGCGGGAGGGATGGGGGTTGTTCGACTACTAAGGCAAAGGTGGCCAGTTTCCCATGCAGTGGAAGCTCCCACTTCTGCCCCCCCCTACGCAGGACAGCTACCCCAGCGAAAAGTTAATGGCCGCCGGAGCTAGTAGGGCCCAGCAGTCGTCCTGTCACATCTGCGCCGTCTCTTTCCCGACTCGGCAGTACACGAAACGTCAACCTGAATCGGTTTTGACCATTGCTCACTTACCTCCATGACGTTGCCGTAGACCTGAACGCCGGTGCTCTCCACGATGCCGAAGTCTCCCTCAAGGTTACGCCTGCAGACGTTGTCGTACGCCTCCGCGTAGTCGGTGGACCGGTGGAAGAAGATGCCCGCACGAGCGTTGTCCTCTACCACGTTGTCGTGGACCACCGCACTGTGCGACCGCGCAGGCAGAGAGGGGGACAAAATGATGAAGAGTGACTACGATATTTCATCACTCTGCCAGATTGCTGTTGTCATGGGTATTTTGATTATGTACCATCGTCAACCAGCGGCTCAGAGAATCCTCGCTTCTAGATATGCGTGGTGCCTGCTTGCATGCGTCATGTTTTCGAGGGGATTACTGCTGTACTCCCGAGATCAGAGCGGCAATCAGTCACTCCTGTTTTTGCGATAGCAACAAGTTTCTTCTCGGTTTTCCCGCCACCCTGACTACATGTACCAGCCACTCTTGAAGTGAAATGTACCGGATAGATGAAAAATGTAAATATTCGTGGTTGGTCCAGGATTCCTGTACATCTGCAACTCTTTATCGCTCCACAGAAGCCGTACGCAAAGCACAAGCGCAACACTTCGAGCGGGGGGGGCGCAAACGCCAGACAGTTACTTACCGTTCGCAGCGCTTGCTGAACTCGATGCCGTGCCATCCGTTGTCGTGAACCTGTCAGGTAGCCCGACACAAACGTATCACGTGTCAGCTAACTGTGTACGGTAGGTCTATGTATAATTTCGGCGTAGGATTCACAAACCGCAGACGCGCCCTCTCGATGTGTGCCAATCGATAGTCAATAGGACCAAGTCAACGATGCAGGGGAGCCCCCGAGAGACTTCGTCTCCAATTACCAAGAGCAGTGGAAACCGGCACCAGGACATGGTGTGAGATGCGGGCGATGGGCGACAGATAATGTCCCATCTTCAGAGCATGATTTGCCTTGAGGGCGTGTTCACGGAGACCAATCTATGCTGCCCAGAGGCTGGTTACGGGAGATTTTGCCGGTAAGAGCCTCAACAGAAAAGGTCCACCACTATTTCTTGGAAGCACGCTCGATTCGGCACTGCACAACCTTTGCGATACCGCGACACGTGGTCCAAGAATCAGCTTCCATTATTCCACGGCAAGCGCGACATACATCAGACTTGAGGCCATTTTCTCTCACGTGGTTTTCGCTGATCGTCATTCCGTCGCTGTTGTCCTGCGGGTTCATCCCGTTGAGGTAGTTGTCGTAAATCTGACATGAGTACCGAACGTCACCGAATCGCGGAGTAGGGGTTGAAGCGGGTCACAGGTTGCCGAAAACAAAGCTACACGAGACTAGCGGCAGCATTGTGGAGCGCTACTTGTGTTGTGTACTACTTGTGTTGTGCTACATATCACCCGTGACGTAGTAGCATCGACACGAAGATCACAGAAACGACAAGGCAGCAGCCAAATACCTCGTTGTCGGTCTCTCGTGTAGCAGCATTGTGGAGCACTACTTGTGTTGTGCTACATATCACTCGTGACGTAGTAGCATCAACACGAAGAACACAAAAACGTCGAGGCAGCAGCCAAGTACCTCGTTGTCGGTCCAGTTCGAGTCGCCCTTCATTCCGTAGCAGTCTGCAGGCCATGCACCAGAGGATGGGATAATGCGGGTTGTAGGCGAAGCATCGGTGCGTCACATTAGGAAGGACGGGGCCCAAACCATCGCACCAAGCAGCGAATCGACTTAACGTCAACCCATGATTGTGGTGGTTTGTGAGAGGGAGCAAGTGCTGCGGGCAGAGACTTGAGGAAACGACATATATCTCAACAAGCCGCTGCAAACCATTACTTTGGCGGAAAAAAGCAATGGGCGAAACCAATAGGGCACTGGCGTACCGAAGCGATGGATACCTACATGAAGGGTTTTAGATGTTCCGATTCCGGAGCCTGCGGCTATTGACCCAGCATCAACAGCGCATTTCTGCCAAAATCGCGCCGGCCGACCTACACCAAAAACAGCGGAAAACAGCAACCGCTTCCGTTTGATGACTCACATGCGCCAATGTAGTTGTCGTGGATGCTGTTGCGCTTGAGGCCCCCGTATACTCCGACCCTGTCGAAGATACCCAGGTCTCCTCCATAACGGTCGTCATACCCCTGGACCTTCCAAAGGAGGCCGTAGTCCGAATCTGAGGCGGTATGTAGAGGGGAGAACGTGCCAGGTACGGAAGTGCTCACTAATGCTCTCGGGTGCTTCACGCGCAAAAAAAATTGCCATGATCTACGTTGCTGTCGCCCAATATCCAAACCCTCGATAAGTATATCCATTCCACGTCTAACGTGCCGCGTGAAGGCAAGACGCGCAAACGGCGTAGGATGTACAGGTGGACAGGGGGGATAACTCACAAAGAGCCTGCGCATCAACTCGGACAGTACTTGGAGGAATCCCGTTCGACATCAGCGTCGCGTGCAACAGAGTGCACAGCGCACGGAACGTCAACATTATTGCGTAGATTGTCGCCGAGAGAGAGGCGAACCGGGCTACAACAAACCCTGATCTCTAACGGTCACTCAGCGGGCCTTACACCGCTTTTTATGGCAGCACAATGCTGCAAAAAACGCTGCATTTCTGCAACTTTTCTTGCAGCTTTGCTAATGTACGCTCAGTATGGGAGCTAAAAATTGCACGAAGAGTTCTGCAACTTTTTTCCGGGGCGAAAAGCTGCAATCTGGCCGAAACGTTTTTATTGCAGCTTTTGTCGAGTCGGGAAGGGGCAAGAAAAGCTGCACGGCGGAAACTATACCAGTTCACGTCAAGCTGCTACCGCACACATAGACCCTCTCCGGCATCGATTGTGGGAGGGCTGTAATCACCGATTTCTCGACGAATACTGAACGAGTTGCCTCATGAATGGTATCTGGAAGGAGGTGATGCCATGGGCTGTTGGGCAATGCCAAGGTTTGGGGCCGTGAGGTGCCGAATGCGCCGGGAAAAGTTAATGCTGTGCACAACCGTCAACGGCCGCGAGCGGTTAGTTCAAGCTCGATGTTTCTGACCGCCACGGGTTTGGTTATCCACCGATAACTTTCCGAAGGAGGAAGCAATAGCAAGGTCGCTCGGTGGGAGGTAGCTCTCTGCTCCATCTTTCATGCCCAAGGTTTGATGCCATGGGGTACCGTGCGCATGGGGAAAAAAGTTTTGATCGACCCCAAAGTACTGACGTCAGAGATCAGTTGATTCAAGTTCGCAGGGATTGTGTTCGCATCGTTTGGTTTTCCAGCGATAACTTTTCGAAGGAGAAGGCAACAGCAACAGCAATGTCACCCCGAGGGAGCTAGCTCTACCCAGCATCTTTCTGGTACCAGGTTAGATGCCTTGGGTTATCGTAAGTGTGGAGAAAAAGGTTGCAACTACACTCTCCCGCGCGCTTTGACCGGTCCTTTCGCGGTGCAATATGAAAGGCGCGTGCCTTCTTCTCCATTGCTAAAAAAAAAAATATCACGCCTCCGCATTCCGCCAGTCCCGTGCACAAAACTTTCTTAGTCCCACAAGTAACGCGCATCAAACGTTCCATTGACAAAGTTTGGAAGAAAAGCTGCAGGAAAAGTTTGCAGCTTTTCTTGCAACATTGTACTGCCATCTTAGTCCCACAAGTAACGCGCATCAAACGTTCCATTGACAGAGTTTGGAAGAAAAGCTGCAGGAAAAGTTTGCAGCTTTTCTTGCAACATTGTACTGCCATAAAAAGCGGGGTTAAAGGCCCTCCTGATCCTTCCCTCCGTTCAACAATGTGGTGGTAAACGATGAAGCGCGGAAGGGTAAAACGCCACACATCACGATGCGTACCGATGTCGTTGTGGTAGTCCCCCTCGTTCCCCAAGAAGGATATCTCCGAATCCTCGACGTCCATCCTTGAAGTGTAGACGATGGTTTGCGCCCCGTTCTCCCCGCTCAGGGCTGCGATGTAAGCCCTGCCCTCGAGCCTCTCATCCGGGCCGCCGAGGGAGGCATCCCACGACGTGATGGCGGTGTCGAGGATGGAGAGCTTCCCATGCCAAGCTATGATGGGCGCAGAGGAAGTTGTGTCGCTCTGGGCATGGGGTCGCGAAGAGCAAAGACAGACGCGATGATGCCGCCGTCAACCGGGGGTGGTGCATATGGTGAGGCATGGCGTGGAGGAATTGGGCGGAGGGAAGCATGTGTTGCGGGTTTCTTTTAAGGCCCGTCACTCTAACACACGTAGTGGCAGAGCGGCAAACACTGTGTGACTCTCAAACGGCGTCAACGTGAAACGTTCCCAGGTGGTGTAAGACACCAGTGTGTGCCAGGTGGGTTCCCGCGTTCGTAGCAGGGTCGGACTACCGGCAACTCGAACCTTCAGTTTCAGAAGAGAAACAGCCGCATCCGGGGAAGAAGCCTTGGACGCCCCGTGAATCTCGAGGATGGAGCCATCGCGAAGCCAAATCTTGTTGTTCAGCGTGTACTCCGTGCCATCTTTCGACACCGTATCCGGCAGGACGAGCCTGATCTGCTCCAACGTCACGCGGCACCTTTGGTTTCGGTTACCAGGGAACGGGAACACGCGGGGAAGCCGAGTCAAACGTGGTTGCATTTTGTGAAGCAAGTCAGCAACAAAAAATGCCCATATGCCAATGCGGACCGTGTACACAAAGCGCACACAAGAGTAAATACAAAACAATTACGTGTTGCCATCAAGCAGCAATTTGCGTGCTACTAGAGAGCTTTAGGACCGGCGTCCGCTGCGGGGCGGAGAACGGAGTGGGGGCTGGGACGGGGACACCGATGTCCTGCGGCAGAGGGACCATGCCACCTCTGGCGGCAACGGCGCGTACCATAACAAGCTAAATAATAATGAACGCAGTTTCTCCACATGAAGTACCACAGGCGTGGAGAAGTCAAATCAACAAAGCAGCGCCGACGAGCCCCTTGGGTGAAGTTGCTCTTGGGGAAGCATTGTGAAGAGGCTCAGGACCACCTTCCATGTTTGAAATTTCGCCAGTAGTTGGGCTCGTCTGATGGGCGCTATAGGACGCCGATGATCTCAGCTTGTGTGCCCACCGTCCGCTTCGGTGGAAGAAGCACAGCGTCCCTCAGATATTCCACCTCCAAGTCCGTGTGTTCAACCAGAAAGTGCCTGCAAGTCACTGCTGTGTCATGTACCCCTTGTACACTCACGAACACAGACTACGAAACAACCGTGGGAAACTGGAAATAGCGCCTGCAGAGTAAGACGGATGTATCCAGAGTAATATATACTCCGTATCTGCTTTGGTTCGTTGAGCTTCCCTTGGCTCTTCGAGCCAAAAGTCAAGAGAACATCAGCTGTGTGAGCTGTTGAGCTTGGGAAACACATGCCAACCTGTATTCATTGTCATCTTGCATGACTCCTTTGACTACACCGTTCTCTCGGGATCAGCCCACTCCGGATGGATAATTTGGTATGCATGTAACAACTATTGAGTGTGCGGTTTCAGTCGCCCACGTAGATCCAGGGTGGCACCAGGCAGCTGGTAGTGCGCCCACCGCATGCCCGGGCGTTTTGTGGCCAAAGCCGGAACTTTCTCGTGATACGCAAGGCTCCTCACAAAAAAACAGAGTTGCACAAAGGAGATGGCGTTTCGCGCAGAACAAAACGAAAAAACATGAATCTAGAGTACGCGATTTGCACAAAGCAGCTTTGTACCGGGGAGACGAAAAAAAAAACGCAAAACCATCGTTTTAATACTTCAGTAGTAAATAACGTTTTGCGCCGTAGATTGAAAAATTGAAATGTGCCAAATCCAAGCCTCTACATACAAGTTTTTGCAGCTTGAGAACACCCGGTGCACCAGCTACATATTAGCGTTCAATCCGTTTGTTGATCGGACATACACACGTGGAGAACGGCGGCGGCGCGTCAGAGGACCCGGAAGATACGTCATATTGGCCAAATGTCGGGCTGCTGCATGCATCTACACACAGTTCACAATGACACCTCTAGAATCGTTTCTGGTGGTCTGCTGCTGCTGTCGAGTCATGCGACGCAACTCACAACCCATATCGGTAGGGAGTTTCGAGCAGTGTGGGGTTGCTCGTGGCGTGCTGTACTGTCGGCAACGGAAGCACACGTTGCCGCACTGGTTCACCAAAAAAAAAAAATTCGGCAGGAAGAATGTGCTGAAATCGCAAAAACTCCAACCACCTCGACCTCTCACGCTACAAGGCCTAAACTGATAAGCGGCACAGTTTGATCGACGGGGTTGCTCAAGCTGGTATGATTTCTCCGAAAATATTAAGTAGAGGTTTGTGTCTCCTGAGGCTAAGCGCCAGAGGGAACAATTGAGCTTGTACCGCTGCCGGCGGGGGCACCGACCGGGACTATTTACCTAGCAGTTTGTCCTGTGAGAAATACAAGGATACGTATGGTTAGGGGGGGGGGGGGTGTACTCATAGTCGTGCATGCCGTAGTCGTTTGACCATTGACCTCGCATCCCTACAAAGCCGGGACGGAGCACGCCGGGTTCTCACCGGACCAGGCTCTCACATCACCAAGCGCGAAGCGCCGTGAGGTATTTGGCGAGTCGCATGAAGGGTGAGCTGCATCCTGCTAAGGGTGTTCGGCATCTTGTGCTTACTTCCTTGCGTACGGATGACAGCTACGTATGACTTAATTTATTTTCTGGTGCTTTCACTTCCAGAGACAGTTGTAAGCACTGTGTAACTGCCTCGAGGAAGCTTGACCATTTTAACACAACGAGGTGCGATCATCCCCCGTTGCGCGGAGTGAGGTTTCTCGACCCCGCACAACATGATCTACTCGACCACCATTATGGTTACCGCCAAAAAAAAAAAACGAGGTAAAAAAAAAAAACGGTAACCTGGTTGCCGAGTTCACGAAGTGAATTGGCTTGTTTTACAACGTCGTTGCCAAGCGACGAAAACCCAACCCCGATGGCAAACACCGGGGGGGGGGGTTAGGGGGGAAACACCATCGCGGAGCCGCCGGGACACAGGGACAGTGGACGGCGAGGAGCCTTGCATAGCCTTCAGACAACCAATGACAACAACAGATTAGATCCAGGATCCGACCGCTTGGCGTCAGAAGAACTCCGATAAATCTATTTGTCGTTAGTACACACCCACGAAAGCGGGCCCTTCTCGGAAGAATGCCATGTGTAGACTACAGAGTTTTTAAGTTGGCGCCCGCACTTGAGAATTTGGGAGTTCAGGCTCAAAACACGACTTGGACATCAGAACACGTGCTCAGTCAAGAAGCCTATGTTAAAACCTACATGGACGTTGTTGGGGTATAGAGAAAATAAGAAGCGAGCCTCGGCCGAAATAGGTGGTCCGCACTACCGAATACGACATAAGATAACACACACTCTGGGACCGATTTTCAAAGCTCGATTACTCCACGACCAAGAGGGTGCATGAACGAAACGATACGTTTCCGGAGAGCTCTCGACCAGACGGCTTCAACGCCGCCGTTCTCGGCGCTGCGTCTCTTTCTGCTGTTGATAAATCAAACATTGGAAATCGGTCCAGGGGGTGTGTTATCTTGTGTCATATACGGTAACTAACTGCTCTATGATCGTCTTTTTACGGAAAAGGCTGTACGTACGCACCCGGCTTCTCACTGACATGGTAGGCAGGGACGTGGGCTACCGCCCTGACAAAAAACGGAACATGAGCATCAGCAACTCTGCTCAGTTAGAGCTGATCAACTTGGCGGGAAACGGTAAAAGCAACGGTCTCCTTGTGACAACGCTGCGTGCTTCTGTTACTGTTAAGCCCTAGCCGCGGTAGCAGTACATACAATTTTATTATTCCAACTTGAGCGTGTAGAGACGAGCGGAATGGCCTAGACTATCTGTCGTTGACTTTTATTGGCTTGCAGACTGCGGACCCTTCGGGTCCATTTTATTTTCGTAGCTTTTCTTGGGTAAGTTAGCCCGTGACCACGGGAATCGACCTCGTCAAGCGTTGAACAGGTACAAGGTGGGCCAGCCAAGAAGCCAACAAAATGGTTAGAAGCGATTTCCGAGCCGGTTTTTACGACCTAGAACCTTCAATTTTGATATGTGATTGGAAACGGTCTAACAAATTCCCCCGAGGGAGGTGCGTTTTTTTTTTTTGGTGAGCTATCCCTATATTCAATAACTGAGAATCCCAATGTAGGGGTTTTTGTGGCTAAAAAAAAAAGCACCTCCCTCGGGGGCATTTGTAAGACCGTTTCCAATCACATATCAACATGTCAGGTTCTAGTTCGTAAAAACCGGCTCGGAAATCGCGATATCCTCACTTTCGCTTAGTATCTTGGGTGTTGTATAGGATATTTTACAAGGCCATAACTTTTGATGCAAGATGACCTGAGCCTTATAACTACCATCATTGTTCTCGCAATGCTCCCAGGTAAGTGCACACCAATTTTCGGCTTGATCTGCAAAACTTTTTTTATACTGATTTCAGTACCTGAACCATCCCCCACTACATTTATTTTCTCTTCTCCTTACGGTTTCCATTTTTCTTTTTTTTTTCTCCTTTTTTCTTTTTTTTTCTCTCTTTTTCTGTGCCAGATGGCCTGGTCTCTGCTTGCGTTGTGAAGTACCAAGATTGAACCAAGGGGGTGTACCTCTTTCTCTCCGGCCCATGATAGATAGTGACTGCTAATCTCAGTTGATACCTCGCATAGCGCGAAGAGGGAGTGGAGGATTCCAGAATATCTGTCGTTGATTTCTATTGACTTGCGGACCCCTCGGGGCCAGTTTATTTGAGTGTACCTTTTTAGGGTAAGTTAACCTGTGACCACGGGAATCGACCGCGTCGAGTGTTGGATCAGTACGGACATACGAAGGTACTGGGTAGAGAGAGATCGGAACGGTTTTTAATGTGAAGACAACAACAACAACAACAACAACAACAACACCGCCAATTGAGCACTCAATACCCAAATCAACTCAGATTCGAAAAATTCTGGCACCGGCGCATCCTCCATTGTCTTCAAAGTGTAGCCACAAAATTTCAAGCCTAAACTCGTGGAATTGGCAGCGTGAGACGCGAAACAACGAAAGTGAGCTTCTTGGCTGGCCCAGCTTGTATCATACAGCAGTAGTGCGGACAGAAGAAGGTACTGGGCAGAGAGGACGGAACGGTTCTTACTATAAAAACAACAACAACAACAACAACAACAACACCAAGTAGCACCAGCTGTGACATGTGGCACCTGCCGGTCGTGAGGGTGAGGGTCTGCCACAAGTGTTCAAAAAATGTGGAGCATATCCAGCACATTCTTTCAGGTTTCCACCATTGCACCACATATACCAAAGTACTGGCTGTATACTTGGGAACTGCACCCCTTTGCACCCTCCATCCGAACAATTTGGAACACAGGCACGCAAGGGATCAGGGCGGTAGCGCCTTCCACAGGACTATCTCAGAAAATAGTAGTTCTCAGCATGGGATGTACTACACGCACGGGAGAAAAGTGTATCTATGTAAATAGTTTGGCTGCTGTAGAGCCCCAAAATGATCATGAAGGACGGGGCATTTCGGCAGGAGGCTGCCAAAATCCGCAGGGTTACCCCGTTCGAGGCTGTTGGCACGAACTCAACTTGAGCCGGAAAAAGGCGGGATACCGTAGATGGAGCGCATTGGCCAAGAAAAAGAGGGGGGGCAAAACCTCGACAGCTCCCATGTATCGCCTCGCCGGCATCTATCTTCTAAATCGCACCAACGTATTTTGCATACCAGCCAGGAGGTTTGAGACCCGTTGGACACAAGCATACGTCTGGTTGACCTCATGACCGCCACGCAAATACAAATTACAGGCTGTACGAGGAGACCATAGTGACTTGACTGCATACGAATGGGTAGTCTTCTGTTTGTGTTTTTATTATTCCTTAATACAGACAGCCGTCGGACAAGAAAATGTCGTGCCGTCAGCTGCCTTTTGCATGGTGGTGGGTTTTGGGTGTTTTCGTGTCTTGTGTTTGCTTTGCGATTCCCAACAACTGCTGTCATTGACACCATGCGTGGTTGGCTGTGCCCTATATTGCACTCGCTCTGCTCGCATCTTTCTCCTTACTTCGTCTGCTATTATTTGTCCTCTCACTCGCCGTCTAATCTCTCGCCCTCACCTCCAACCTCGAATTTGAATCACGTCGTCGATGAACTGGATTGCCGTATCTGCGCAGTCATTGGGGGTGTCGCACACCCCCGAGTACTCCCCCTCGTTGCACATAGTCGATCCCCAGCAGTTGAAGTCTCTGCAGGCAGCGGTGGCGCCGAAGCATAGCGCTGCCACTGCTGTCGTCAGAAGCGATTTGACCCTGGTGCCGCCCATCGTGCGCAGATTTGGGGTATCGTTGTCGGCCTTTGTGACAGGATCGTGCTCAGGGTACACCTGTACACACACCGCACGTCTGTCTCTGCTGTGCGCGGATGCTGCTGTATATCTTTCTCTCTCGTCGCCTCAGAACGGCAGTCGAGGGTCTTCCCGGGTGAATGAGTGGGATGCGACAACCGACAAAACGGGGCGGGTTCCGCTCTCACAAACCTCAAACTGTAAAGAGCCGTTTGGGGCAGCTTGGGGAGAGACATAATCAACCCGGCCTCGCGGAAGCATATTCTAGCGATTCTTAGATTCTTAGAACCTCCGATCTACGATCTACGATCTACGATAATACGCTATCTCCGAAATCTCCCAACCCGACAGACACGACAGCACGACAGACGACAGACCAGTTAGTTGCACGTTGACTCGGAACGGGGTCTCGCCGCTTTCGTCCGCGTTGCTGCTGCAGCAGGGTGTGCGCGTGCATTTCCCGGCGTTCCGATCGACCCAAGAGCAAGGATCGGGCCGTCCATGCCATCCACAACTGAACCGGTGGGCGTCCCCTCTGCTGCTTCAGCGAAAATTTTGGTAAGGAAAAGAGAGCACGAGGAACACCACGCCCGCGACCTGATGTGGTAATTATGTACATGTAGTGCCGCTCGCATAGGTAACGAGTTCCTAGGTCGGTAGACCCGAGTTGTGCCTTCCACAAACAAACCATTGCTTACCTGCTCTGGAAAGCCGACCACATGTATTGTAGAGGCTCAGTTCCCGTCCGTCCCAGGTTTTACGATAAAATGTGGCACATTCGTATATTGTGCGACTGCTGTGGACGTTGGGTACGGCGCGGTCAGTTTGGTACCTCTGTACAGCAGTACCAGCGTTTACCATCTGGTTTGCGCTACAGCTGTAGGTGGCCCGATATAGTGGCATATAGGGGCAAGACCAAATGATGCCCCTCGGTTCAGTGCCACTATTCGATATAGTGGCACTATTGCCACTATTGCAATGTCAATACATAGTGGCATTATTACCACTATCGAATGAGAAGCTGCGAAGTTCACGACATCGACAGCGGTTCATTGTATCTACCCTCACATGCGCTGTTACATGCGGGTAATTTCGTGTATTGCTGCACTCCTCGTGGTTGAGCACTTGTGTGCAGCAGTTTCCGCATGAAACACATGAAATGACACTTGGTTATCCAAGGGTCGCCGAGCCTTCTGCGGTCAAAACCTATTCATTTTTAAGTGCAGGCAGACCCCCGAAACCACGCCCAAACGTACTAAAATACTGTAGGAGGCACATCATATATGTTTTGTCCGGCGGGCTATGTAACATGGGGTTCAGAAGAAATGACAACTGAAGCAACAAAGCTTCTTCTTTTTCGCGGCGGCGCCATCTCCGACAAGTCCCGAGTTGGGGGAGGCACGCTTAGGCTGATTCGAAGAGTCGGGTGTCTTTTGCTTCTTGGCGATGCACGGGTTGCAGACGCGGTGTATTTCTCTGCCGCCCTCCTCCTCTGGTTCACCACACATACCATGAAGCCGGCCACCGCAGCCGAGCGACATGTGTGCCCGTCTTTCTCTCCCAGTGGTCGGTGTGGGAGTTTAGACAGTTCTAGGTCCGCGCAGGCTGGCATGATACGTGTGGCGCCCACTGCTGAGGGTGGTGCGGGCAGGTGTGGTCCAGCAGTAGTGGGGGCCCGCTGTTTGGAATTGCCACTATTGGGTGTGTGAGATGGCCAATATGCCACTATTGAGGGCCCCGTCCTCAACGGTGGGAAAGTGCCACAATGCCGGGTTGAGATTTTGCCAGGAGATTTTTATGCCACTGTATCGGGCATTTCTCTATTCAGGTTGCCACTATAAAGGGCCACCTATGTACCTCTTTTCACGCGTGGGCCTTCTTGCCAGGAACGCGCGGTGTGGTGTTCGATCGTGGTCGTTACGTACTTCCGCCTCAATTTTCGGCAGCGGGCTAGCGACTTCTGGCACCAAGCTTCCGCTGCCGAGCATAAGGTAAGGCATGCTACAATACTGCTGTGCTGTTTAGGCTGGTCTACATATATATGTTCTCTGTACGCCTAGGTTCGTCAGACATCCACGCCGGGAGGTGGCACAACCATGCATGTGTGCACTCTAGGACTATCCGAAAAGTCAAAGCTTTCGGTGGTCGCCAGCAAACATGTTGCTTTGTTAAAGGAGTGTTTGCTCAAGTTGGACGTTCTCGGTTTTCAGGAGCGCCCGTCAGGGTTGAACTGCTGCTCTGTTTTCGCTGGCCCTCATCGTGACGGTGCTGGGCGTGGATGCAGTTCACCCATGAAACCCTGGATCGGTCCACACCCCTTGAGGCAGCCTATCATCGAGCTTGACCAAAGATGCAGGCTTTGCCGATCTGGTTACACACGTACCCACGTTTCTGACGCTCGCTGTCCAACACCGCCGACCCGACCACAGGGTCTCTTCGTGAGCGTGGTAACCCTCATTTTGATCCTCTACGTGCTCTGCATAGTGGCGCCGATGAACGCAGGTGTGGTTCGTTGGATGTAGTCGATAGGCGGAAGTGGCACGACAGCCATACGGCGGTGTTCGCTTACCGGTATGTAGGACATGCAATGGACTTGTCCATCTGTGGGCTGTTTGATCGCCCTGGAAACGTACTCGCCTACGTACATAGTCTCCCGATATCGAGCGTACTCCGGAGGGACCCGCAGTATTTGTCGTGCAATCTCCCGGATGTCGAATACCAAAAAACGTCGTGATATATTTAGTTATATAAAAGTGCGTCATTCTGGACGGTCGGGTGGAATATGCCCCGGAGAACGTACCCCGCCCATCTCGCCTCCTCTCGGGGCGAAATTATTTTCATGAATTTATTTCATACGCCCAGGACATTCCGCAAGGTTTTAGCTGCCCGCCGCGACCCTTTGCGCAACCGAGACCAACACTGGTTCATTTTTGTGTTGTTCTACTGCCCTATTTGGCATATCTGCTGTTTTTGTTGTTGCACTGCTTGGTCATGCACCCCACCAGTGGCTGAGTGGGATACACACTGGCGTGGAGGTTCCAATGGGAGAAGAACATCAGGTCCTACTCGCGTACGATAGCGTATCGATTGCGGTTCGTACTATCGCGAAACAACTGCAGTGCTGCTTTGTGAAATCGCGTACCGCAAGGAGCGACTACGACTACGGCGAGAGAACCCGTGCCGTCGTGTCTAAGTATGTGCGGTGGAGCGGGGCCTTCAAACCCTTGTGTACAGAAGTCCGCAACAAGGGACACCGGCAGGGAGGACCAGGCCTAGCGAGTCGCCTGGCCGTTGTTGTCTCTCTTGTGTTTTAGTCGCGGGTGTGAATGCCCGCAGAGCGGAGAACGAACGCTCTGTGCCGCAAACACATACGCGTTTACCATAGGGAGAGCTCACACCTTGATCGCTGGCGTGTCTTGGCTACACCACGAGGGATCCCGAGGTTAGGTCATGCTTTTACTGCTGCAGTCGAGCCCGGCACGTTCATGAATCGCGAATATCTTGTGTGTACATGCATACGAGGAAAGTCGAATAGAGTACATGTGGTTTTTGTGGATTGGGAGCTGACTCGTGACTGCAATAGGCAGAAGTATCCAAAAACGAGATTCTACGAGCGAGGAGGATAGGAGATAACTTGTTACCGCGTAATTTGGGGTGGTGAAGTAGTTCGAACGACTAGCTAGGTGGGGTACAGGCGGGCGCGCGAGTAGATGTCTCTCGTTCCCAGTAATGGTAACTTCGTTTTGTGGAAGGCGAGTTTTTTACCCGCAACGCGTGTGCCAGGGACGGAGTTAGGTTGCAATCGACGGTACGCCCCTACTGTACCTATTCTGTCTTCAGGATTTGCACGCTGTGAGCTGCTCGCTTCTTCAGTCATTCTTGTGTGGTATTTGGTGCATCTGCGTGTGGCTTCAGCCATTTGCGTCGGCGGTTCGTGGATTGAGCACTGCCTACTCCTACGTATGTACAGCAGTATACCTCGCTACCGAAAGTTAAAGTTCCGTTCCTCTCCGTGAGAGATGAACAGTTTCATTCATGTTCAAAACTCCTGTCCTCTTGTTCTACGTATTATGCGTATATACATCTTCCTTTTTGTGTATCCGTTTGTGCTCGTTTCTTTGGTGGATCAAAGAGAGTGAAGCACTAAGAAAGAGAGTCAGTTGGAGCATGCGACCTACATTGTTTTGACCACACACTGTGTTCCGTTGTCGCACCTTCGTCCATTCATAGTCCACTTTTCGTTTCAAGAACCGTTTGTTTTCATTTATTTGTAAAGCTGAGGGGGGGGGGGCGTTTTCTGCGGCTTTCCCGAGATCACTCGGGTGCAGCAGCACAAAACAAAATGCTAGTGAACATGCTTGCTGTTCTCGCTCGCGTCTCACACACACACGTAGATATCTGACTGATATTTCAGCAATAAATCGCCACACAGAGGAACGTTGTTCGTCCTTCATTATTATATGTTTGTGGGCGGAAGACACGCTGAAGAAGAAGTGAATTGCTCCAGCGGAAGAATGCTCGTGGTCAGCAGTTTCATGTCTGTATGTCTGTTGAAGGTTTTCCCTCCTTCAATCGAGCTGTGCCGACCGTCTTCGTGCTGAAATGAAGTCCATCGTAGGTACCAGCAGCGGCCGTCGGCTATTAAATGCAACATATCCATGTAATAAGTAAAACGGTCCAGTTCGACCGTAGATAAATCATTTTTACCCCGAGGGCCGCCTAACCGGCCCTGATAAAACAAAATCAGCTTTCTTTTTTTTTTTCACTATATTTTCGGATCACTTTTTTTTCTCTGAGACGTTCCATGATTTTTCAAACACGCTGGTTAGAGGGCGGACACCAACAAACAGAGGTGGACTCCTACGTCTGATCCCTCCCTCATACCGGCGGCGGGGGACACGCCGATCAGCGAAGGTGCTGACACCTCCTCACACAGCTGGTTTCCTCGGACGGGATCAACACGCACACACCGTTAGACACCCCACTCTGGTGCAAGTGTATTCCACGCCAGAAAGGGCAACTCGACAAAGCTGAGGAAGGGACAGACGCCGGAGACCACCACGGGAGAGGGAGGGGAGCGTTCCCCACGCGGGGGACAGCACGCAACCCAAGCTCTGAGGTACACGACAGCCTGGTGCCTCGCTAGCTCTGGATCTGCGTGCCAACGTGCCTGTACTGCTGTCCTTGATACCTCTCGATTGCCGACCACGGCACGCCGCGTTTTGCCGAAGAGGGAAGGAAGAGAGAGAGAGAGATAGAGAGAGAGGTGAAAGGTCAGCTCACACGAGCTTTACTCGCTTTTTGCGGTGCCCTCTTCTCTTTAGCCGCACCAGCCGGCACCGGCCGGGGGGCAGCGGCACAGGTCTCTCACGCCAAGGGCTAGGCTAGGGCTTGGAGGGAGCCGCAAGGATGGAGCCAACTGATGTGCCGGGCGCCACAGGGGGCAGGGAAGAAGACGCGTTCGGCTTCCCATCACGAAGACAGGCAAGTCAAGCCCTCCTGCCTACAATCTACCTCTGCTTTTGGCCTTTCGGTCTGGTACACACAGCAGCGGGATGGATATGACACCGGAACGTGTGTGCTGTGACCCATAAGCCCGCACCCTTGTGCGAAATCAAACAGCGACTTGTGTCTCTCGTAAGCTCGACCGCAGCATCAGCTTGCGATTCTTGCGTTTAGGCTTGAGTTTCCTGACGCTCCGAAATTAGGTTGCTGCTGTCGACACACACGCCAGCAACGCCATCCCCATTCATGCATCCTCGTCCTGAGTGTATACTAAAATGACGACATCATACGCCGTCTCTTTGTTGGCTGATTCCCGCACGTCAGTCGCAGTAGATTACGTAGGCAAATTCGTGTCCCCCGCGGGTTGAGATACAGCAGGGCAGCTTACCGCGGTATATTGGTTGCCTTGAATCTCCTTGCCTCGGCACACAGGCGTTTTTCATTATTCCGCCGCCGGGCCTTCAGGCGCGGCTATTGCAGTCCATGTATTGACCACCGCCGTCAAGTATTCGGTACGCCGCTGCGGCCAGAGCCTGCTGCTCCAAGTCTGTTTCTTCGCAAGCAACGAGCGGCAGAATGACCCTGTGGCAACGTTGTTAAGTTTGTGTCGGGAATCAGCAGTCCGCCAGACTTGCGTGTCAAGCGCTGCAAGCATGTCGTCGGGAACGCGTTGTTCTGTCCGCTGTTGTGGCCAGCTAAGGGGGGCAGTTTCTCACACCTCCGGACCGACGACACGAGAGGATCAGGATGGATGAAAAGATACACAAACTGCCGAAGTTTGCTACACAGATATTTTTCTTGAACGGTTCTCCCCCTCGTCTCTCTCTCTCTCCCCTCCCCCTGCTGTCCTCCCCCGCAAGTTTGATGAGAGAATAAGTATATTGAGACCAGGAAGAGGCTACAAAAGGCTCTCCACCAACCTTTTCCTCTTGCATGCATATATATTGTGTGGGCCGTCTCTTGTGTGTGGTACTCTGTAAATAGTGTTTTTTCCTGCTGGCAACAATCTCGCCCAACATCGCTCTCGAGCAGGGTTCAAGCAAGCCTTCCCACCGGCGGACCGTGTCATCCCCGGTGGTTCACGACTTCCTTCGAGACAGCATCTACTCTTCTTCGGGCCCCTTTGGAGCACTCGGCGACTCGAGCAACGGTCTCTTTTCCCCCAGGTGTGGGCGTGTGATGCGTGATGGTGAACGGCTGTTATATAATAGTTACGTTTTGTCAGAATTTTTGGGTCCCTGTGTCCCCTTCCCACCATTGTAGTTATTCCTAGTAATAGTATTGAATGTAACATCTGCCGGCTGATCTTTAGGGGTTGGGTTCCAGAGCTATAATGTGGCCTGGCGGGAGTCCTGCACTGCAGCGGTCCCGTCAACGAGTACATCTGCACCAATCGTGTGTGGTCCAGATCTCGGTCCGACTTTGTAACTGGCGCTCATCTGCGGAACATATCTACCATATCTATTGTGCTCCTGTACAAAGTACAAGTGAAATTCCTTCGGTGATTTTTGAGGGACGCTTCCGAATTTTCTTTGCATTGATTGCAACAGCAGTATAAGGTAGACTGCAGGTAGACTGCAGCAGCAGTGTAGCTGGCATACAGCAGTAGACGCGGAACAATCAAATATTATTATGGGGGGTGTTCGATTTAATAAATTGGTTTTTGGTTTTGGGCAGGCAATATAGAGTAAAGCAGTCGTCGAGCACGGGGAAAGAAAGAGAGAGATGGAGATTAGATGTCGTGCCTCGGGTGGGAACTGCGAGCCATGATTGACGGATGGTATGAACCACTTGCGTGTTGAGGCATGCCCCTGTGACAAGATAACGGTTAAACCATACAAATACCTCCAAAATGTACTGTAGAATGCAACAGATACTTTTTCCCACTATAGTACATACCTGACGGGGCACTAAATAGTACAGCAGTGTAGTCGTTCATTCGCTCACGATGGCTTCGACCGCTGACAGTCGACCGACTCCACCCATTGTGGCATTCAACTGATCTTCCGACCAGGAAACCGAAATTGCCGAAAAATGGAGACGCAGTAGATTGCTTCTTGCGTTTGTCGCGCTCTCTCGAGTCATGCCTTGCCCACAGAGCAACGACCGCTCGATTGGCGTAACTTGCCGCCGAAAAGTTTTGGGTGAAACAGAAGGAAGTTACCTATGGTCTGGGACGTCCGTGGTATCCACGTCTTCTAGTGCCAACCTCAAGGTCCAAATGTGTGCGCATAGTATACCGTAATAATCTTGCCGCTGACGGCGCCTCGCGTTCTTGTTTGCGCCCATCCGCGTGCCCCCCGTTTTCACCGCGAACGTTCCCAGATTGGCGGTCGGATCGAAAGGCCACCACAGGGAAAGTGCAAGTGGCGACTACCTGACCGTCTCTACCGAAGCTGGGGATACGTGAGTTACTTGTCCACTCTCCACTCCAGTCTGTAATAGCTGCAGTCGGCGCTCTTAACGAGCGCCTTCCATCGGTTTGTAAATGATATGTGTGCATGATATTGGTACCACTACTGCTGTAGAGCGTGGTTGTCAGGCAAAATTTCCGTCACGTTTTATGGCAACATGGCAACCCCAACCGATAAGCACGACTTTTTTTTTTGTCGTGCTGGTGGTGGAGCGAGATCTGGTCCGTAATTTCTAATTTCTGTGGTGGTATGTTCATCTTTATCTATGAGATTGGCTTCGAAGCGAGACTCTCTCCATGATTTCCCTCCTGCATCCAGGACTTGCTTGGGTTCGCTTTCGCTTGTTTCTCGTCATCGCTACGCATGTTGAGTATGTACTGCTGTAATGCTGTATGGTACTCGCCAATAGTTCGTCTGCGCTCAGCGGGCATGAATCGCAACGCAGGATTCCTTCCCACGTTGAAACTCCGCCTCGAAACCCTGGCACCCACATCCGGCCACTCCACCGTCGGTCCGGACGCGCGACTGGCGGTGCAGTCGCCTGTTGTGGGGACCCGTCTCTCGAGGGGGAGTTTTAGGGTGGGGAGTAATCCTACAGCAGTCCGTTGCGCGTCGTGCGCCCGGAGCACAATTGTACTTGGAGGACGTGCGCAGCCCGGACGGCAGCTGAGTACATACATACAGATACTTCCCAGCAGTAGTACCGGTAGACCATGCTGTTTTTTCCTCAGGCGAAGATGTGCGTGCCCACGGCAGTCGTTTCCTCTTGCGCATGTTACATTTCTCTCTTTTTTTGTTTATTTGGTTTTCTTGTTGGGCCCTACTGGATGATAGGTCCGACCAGTCCGACGCTTGCGAGGCCACTTTTTTTTTCTGCGAACAGCTATTTCTATTTAGATGCCCCCGGAAAAGCTTGAGGAGGCGTGTGCCCGCGAAGGAAAAACACATGCTTTCGAGGGCGTGTAAAATGTGTTGGAGGCTGTCCATGAGTGCCTCCATTCGTGCACGATAGATATTTGGCCGTGTCCACAGCCATCACAGCAACGCAGCACTACATTACAAGCCGACGCTTTTGCGCTCGAGTTTTTATCATCGAGGGATGTGTGACAAGTTGCTCCCGCGCAACTCGTGCTCATTCCGTGAAGATAGGGATAGATGCAAGCGTTAGCGTTTGTTGTCTTATTGTCTTGTTGTCGGCATCCCCCCCCGACGAGACAAAGAGAGAGAGGCGTGATTGCTGCACTTGTGTCTGTATCGAGAGAGAGAGAGAGAGAGAGCGAGAGCGAGGCTGTCTCCTACCTCCTACCGGTGTACCCGGTAACCGGGTGAGAGCAAGAGAGACGTTGACAACAGCAGTAAACGATTGTGAATTTTGGCCACTTTCACCTCCTTGCTAGATACCAAACAAGAGATGGGAATCCCCCCACTCTATTGTGGAGTTCGTTTTCCACCCCCCGATGTCGCTTTTTACGTCCACCAAGTCTTTGGCCTGTTTTTTTTTTTTTTATGATGGAAAAGGAACCAGTGGGCTAAGTAGAAGGTCGTGGTGCTTTTCCCGCACATTTCTTTCGTGGCGGCGTTCAATACTGTTACGTACATCGTTGTGCGCGAACTTCAGCGTTTACAGTCAAATACCGTAGCGGGCAGCGAACTGCTGCCAACAGTATATTACGAGCGACGCGGAGGCCTTACAAGTACATATATCTGGACGACCCGAAGTAATATTTCTATGATAGTATTAAGTCGCACTTTCTTTCCAGTCTGGTGTTGCCAGCGGCTAAGCGCTTGCCGCAAGATGTTCGATGACAAGACAAGCCTCTCGGGCCGTGTTTTCCCGCGCACAAAGCTTGTGCGCTACCTACTCGAGTTGACAGCAACAAAAACGTCCGCCGTCGACGCTTGGATACATGACAGTAGTGGCATCAGCACAAGCGGCAGTATGAGGCACCTTCGCACTGCTTGTAGGCACAACAGCCAGTGAGAGGCTCGCTCGCGTGTTTTCACGCCGCCGCAAGCGCATTCACGGCTTCCCCTGAGCCGCTTGACGGCTGACCACACAGAGTGAAGCCATGCTCGCCTTCTCTGCCGGCAAGTCGTGCTCTTCCCTGCTGTACTTTCTCTCTATTCTCTCTCTCCCTGCTGTGCTGTGTCGATAGCGGAGCGCGCGAACAAAGATGTCAGGAACCATTTCGGTTCGGTTTGTGGATCGGTATACGCCGCAGAGGGCATCTCTCATTTATGTCCAGTGTGCATACATAGATACCTTGTCCCGTGGCCTCGAAAAATTTCCCGTTTATGTGTTCTGTGCAAATACTGCATGTGAGATGTCGCCGGGGAGCACCACTATGGAGACCGTTCCGAAGAACAGAAAGGAAATCGCACCCGCCACTCGGGGGGTACACGACCCGGAACACATGCTGGAGCACCCCCCCCCCCCCCCCCCCCCCCCCCCCCCCTCTCCTTTCCGCCCCCCCCCGGGGGGGGGTTTTTTTTTCCCCGCCCCCTCGGCCTCCTTTTGGGGAAAAAAAAAAAGGGGTTTTTTTAAAAAACCC